CCCCCCCCCCCCCCCCCCCCCCCCCCCCCCCCCCCCCCCCCCCCCCCCCCCCCCCCCCCCCCCCCCCCCCCCCCCCCCCCCCCCCCCCCCCCCCAAACTCACCTCGACTATCTCCGGTCCGGACTCGTCTAGTGTTACGAGACTAACTATAGCACAAAGTCAGTTTGATATTTCCCTGGGGATCTTGTTTGTGATTTATACGATCCGACTGGTGCATTCTCTTAAAGGGTGGATGAGTCTCGATGCATTTGAAAATAATCGCCACGGCGGGAAAAGAAGAGATTGAATATGCGAATATCAGACTTACGTCCTACGAGACCAAGCGGTTGCATCACTTTTTCTCCCATGATACGGATTGCTTGCACGCGGAAACCGAAGATATAGAAGATTATCAATTTTCTGTATCGTTTACGGTGTATGTTAGTTGATTAATATCCTAGTTTTGATATATATCAATGGGCGGGCAGGTGGCACATTTAAGAAGAGGGGCCGGACGGAGATAGGATACAACGAGGGAGGAGTTGGTAGGTAAGTATGTATATGAGCTCAATGAAACGCACATGAAATCCCACCACGATAGCAAGCGCAGCAATGCTCGTTCGAGCCGTCTCCCCGTGACTCGCACTTCGCGGTATATCAGTCCTGGAATCTGCATTGGTTCCGCGAGCGCGGCGTTGGATTGGAGGTGCGCCGGGATCTTCAGGTCCGCTTGTCGCTTCTGTGCCTGGCTGAGATGCTCGGCCCTTGAAAAACTCCAAGGTTAGTCTCGATTCTAGAGAGACATTGGAACAGCTTGCGAGTAGTGTAGGTTGCCCTGGTGGCTTATGCGAATTCGCCAAAGCCGAATAGAAAACATTGGTAAACGCACTTGGATCGAAGGTCGATTACTGTCCTGATACCGAGCTCTTCTTTGAGCTGCCTCCTGTCATTCATCGTTGCATCATCTACACTTTTCCCATTAGAAGTGTATTCTTCTTTTTCCTTTTTCCCTGCCCGAGACTTGTCGCGACGAGTCATCTCAAGGATATAGTGCTAGTAGCGTTTGATATCGTACCTGGTCGTGCTGAGCGATACAGTTTACCTTCCCGAAGGACCCTATACCTTCGTTAACGGGGCTTCAGGAAGTACTCAGATTCAATGAATCGTGGTGAGGTGGGCATAGTCACTTTTTCCCCAGATAGTCATTCACTGTCTTTCCGGCATCGCGGAAATTGAGAATATTCTCAAATTCGACGGACATGGCGGGACGCGCGGCCCTGGTGCGACTGCAAGGTTATAAGTGGTCTTCAGGCAAATGAAACAAGTCAAAAATCGAGCTCAAGTCCTATATAGTAGTTGATTCCTTTGGTAGTTGCGAAGACTTGAGCTATATTGTTTTATAGTGGTGTGCAGGTTGAGACAGTCTGTGGGGTCTCCTTTCTAAACGTTGTTAGGCTTAGCACTCAAGGCTAATGACGGAGTTGGGAAAATGCGAATGTGTGCATACTCTATATTCGCTGTCTTCCAACCTAAAGCGTTTGTCCTCCCCCAGCTTGCAACGTAGACCTCATTTACTTATTTCACCGGAATATTCCAGTTAAGATACTAGAATAGTGATGTTGACATTCGTGCACGTGATACGACAGCAGCCTGCTTGGTGTCTTGTTGCCTCTGGTAACTTTCAATGCGTCATCATTAATAGTCATCAATGTCCAATTTCTGAAGCCCATGACCGTGATGAATCTAGCTTCTATGAATCTAGATACACGAATTGTCACATATTTATCAGGCGCTCCTTCAGTCATAAAGCGCGCGGAGACACAGAGAGAATATATATCCCCTCTGGATCATATGTTCCCTGTACCTAGGTAGCTTTTGCTAAGTCACCCTAGCCCTATAGCCCGGTCAGACCCGGTGCTAAGAGAGAAAGCCTCCGTTATGAATGAGCTCTCTCCCACTGCTTACTTAAGGGTTTACACCGTGAACTCTGTGTATATGAAGTTGAGCTGTATATCCCCAGTCCAACTGCACAATATGGCACTTACATCATCATCAATAATAGGGAATAGGTGCCCAGTTAGCGAAAGAAAGGAGGAGAGCTTACTTAGAGAGTGGTCTGAAGACTACATGTACTCTAAACATAAATTTGGATTGTTCGTTTCTATAATAGTTCATCCGCGCTATGAGTCGAATTAGACCATATGACACTGCAGCGATCACACTACTGTGTATTTGGTCACCGGCAAATCCTGTCGGGTCCCCAAACCCGGATCGTCCTTATTCTAGGCGCTATTTTTTGTACATGTATATGGCCCAAGTAGGGGCGGGTTACACTTGAATACCTAGGATGGCTGGCCAAGCAGCCCATCTGAAAAGTCACGATGGATCTCTAGGCTCACGGTAGCATGCTTATGGAGGCACAGCGCACTCTGCCATCCTTATTGTGCAGGGTCTTCGAGGTCAGATGCGGTCTTGGCTACTACCAGCCTAGGTACCCGGTCAGTAACTGCGCCTCCAAACAAAGAAACTCGTTCCCACTAGTAAATTTAGCTACAATGGCGTGTAGATTGGTGTCGTGACTACGGAAGCCCCGATTGCTATAACATGATACCTAGCATACACTGCCATCCTCGTTCGGGACGGCAACAAGGTTCGCCAGGTAATCTCGTGAACGCGGAAGGCTTTGGAGAGGTAGGCACTGGACTGGTTGGTCATGATTTACATAAGAAGAAGTATCTACATATATATGTCGGAGGTATGCAGAGAGGAAGTCACCTACATAGAGGTACCCGTTGGGACTCCACTTCCGTCGCCAACCTTCTGACTTCCAGTAGAAGCGTTGGGGTCTTTAACTCGAGAATGACCAGTCAACTCGAGAAAACAAAGGTACTTCCAAATACGTACAACTACCACCAAAATGGAAGTAGCTCTGCTTAAACCAATTTCGCTTTACATAACGATTAAAAAACTTGAATATAGCTAAGAAATTCAATTAGGCAATTACCTTCCAGCCTACTTACTATACCTTCACCTTCAACTTCAACGCCTTTACCTTCGACTTCAACACTTTCAACTGTTCAATCTACGCAGCAGCAGAATTACTAATAAAATGCATATAAAGTTGTTTACCTCAAAAGACGCGAACTTAAAGAATTGGCTAACTTAGCAATTTTAGTAGGGGTGGCGATATTCTTAGCATTCATATAAGAAGTATAAATGTAGCGTGCATGTGTATAAAACAGGAACTACTTCTATTTTGGTGGGGATTGTACCAATTTGGAAGTACCGCTGGATTTTCTCGAGTTGACTGGTCATTCTCGAGTTAAAGACCCCAACGCTTCTACTGGAAGTCAGAAGGTTGGCGACGGAAGTGGAGTCCCAACGGGTACCTAGGTAAGCTGAAACCTTGGGCACTCTTACGAAATAGGTACCCGAGATGCCTTGATGGTATAGGAAGTAGTAGGACAAACTAATCTACCAACTAAGACGATGGGGCTGAAAGCAGGACCCTGGTTCAGCGCGATGATGGAGCTTCAGTCTGCTTGAGCACCCTCGGCACCCAAAGAAAGAAAGATTGGCAAGCCGGCTTTTGCTAAGTTCAATAACGGACTTCTAGCAATGTAACAGCCGAGACAGCGTAAGTAGATACTACCTACCTTTGATGCGGGGCTGGTCTTTGGTACCAAGCCATTGCGGTTGTAGTGTAGAGGAGCTATCTGGGCTATCTACGGTAGCGCAACACTCCCCGCGGGTTAGCCGTATGCTATGACGTCAATCGCCCTCGAGGGCGGCCGGAAAGAGACAATGCCTGAGAGACGATGTCGTGACGGTGCCATCACCGTCACTGACAGTAGCCAAGATCCGCTACCTTGCTCGCTTGGTGCTTCTAACAATGAACAATGAACGAATTAGTCTTGCATCTATATGTATATCAGATCGCAGCCACACAATGATGCGTAAGCAGCTCTTTGCTTCCTCCTGTCTGTGAGGCATCACTCCACCGACTCCTACAACTACCCTAAAACCTAAAACCATCACAGACAGCACTCTGTGTCTGACTACCTACCTGTCGACCTACTCGCTAGCAAACCAGGCCTCATCCGTGATACCATCATTCTAAGTTAGTGGTATCCCGAAGCTGCAGCACGGCGTTTGTCACTTGACCGTTGATCCAACCACCTGAGCTGCTATGCGAAGCAGGTAGCCAAGACCCGTCGTCGTCCACTCTCTGCGAAACAAGGCTGCATGATACTATTATTGTTACTGCTGTTGTTATAATTATTATTGTAGGATCTCCTATACGGTGTTTATAGGATCACGGCCCCTCCCACAGATTCGGGACCTGGCAGGCCAGCCGATCCTATTTACCCTCAGCGCACGTCTGGTCCAGAACCTTTTGTCGGGTGAACAGGACGACAGACAGGGGTCGCCTGCATCATTGCTACGGCACCGCGGATCGGTACGAGAGACAAAATGCAGGTTTCGACCAATAGCGTTCCACGTGGACAGCAACCACACCTGTATCATGACGACACTCAAACTAAGCCAATAGGTGAGCTTCGTCGTCCGTAACACAGCCTCTTCCGCTTTATTAATCCTTCGAATCTGTCATCTCTCATGGTTGCTGATCGCAGCGTACTGCTTTCTAGTCCACTCGGGACGGCTTGTTTACGCGAAACCACAAGATCTTCCGAGCTTCCCTTCCATTGGCCTTGATGCTAGAGGCTCCGCTGCCAGCGCAGCTGCGTCGCTGGGTTGGGCCAACAAAAAATCACCTGAACCTTGGAGACCAACTGCTTCACCTTCCGCCTGGACAGCTGCCATCATGGCTGAAGACTACAAACTTGCACCTGCCTGGGAGCCCGTAGCTAGTAGCGATGGTGCCAAGGCTGCTCTCTTGGCCGCGAAGTCTGCGACGAGCCCTGGAATACCGAAATCTCCGTCAATGGATGATGGCATATCAGCAGCAACACGAGCCTACAAGTCAAGCCGCGCAAGCTCGAGTATTAAGCAAGAGGCCCCTGAGCGTCACAGATCCTTAGTTGCCGCCAAAGGTGCCGTGGCCCGACGTCAACGAGCAGACTCCGCGCCGGCTCCCCGAGAATCTTACCCTGATGAAGCCAACGCCGCAGCTAACGCCCTAAGTGCCGCAACCCGAGCTCATCGCCCTGCTTTGTCACCTATCCCTCTAGAAGAGGCGGGTGCTGTCCCGTACACGACGATGAATAAGCTAATGTTTACCTCACGGCCGCCCGTTAAACCTGAGGTTGATGAACAGAAAAGAAATGACGTGCTCCATGCATCCGCTGTAGCCATGGCAAAGAAGATGTATAATCAGCAGCAGAAGATGATCGACGCACAGAAAGCTCACGTCGATACATTATCACCACGAAGCAACTTAGAGGTCTCTAGTAGTGTGAGCGATGACCACCAACCAGCCCAGCTGACTACTCTACAAGATGCAGCATACAAGCAAGCACAGGCTCGTCTTGCGAAGATGCAACAAAAGAACGCACAGGACAGTGATCTCCAGGACTATTATGGGACAAAACCATTATCTAGGCGTTTCTCTGTGAAAGGCAAGCTTCGAAAAAGATCTTTCAGTGATGGAGCTGTCTTAGAAGATCAGCGGCGGTCAGAGCAAATAAGAAAACAGATGACTGTTTTCTCCAATAAGCTGTCAGAGGTCGATCAACAAAAAAGACAGCAAGATCAAGACCAGTTGCTTGCTGCAGCCCAACGGAACGTCCACGAACGATTAAAGGGCATGGATGCAAAGATTGCCAACGAAACCGGAATGGCTCCGCCTTCTACACTTACTCAATGGGAACTCAAAGCTCGCGCTATAGCGCAGGCGCGAGCTTTTTCGCAGAACAACCCACATCAAGGAAAGGTCGACATTGGTGGCGTGCAAATGGATCAGGAAGAAATCAATGTTATCGCCGCGAAAAGAATTCAGCCTATTCTAGATGAGATCAATGCAAAGGCAGAACTCGAGCATGCCCGCCAGGCGGAGCTACGGCTGGAGATGCAACGGAAGAAGGAAGAAGAAGAGACTGAAAAGGCGCGACAGAGAGAGGTTCAAGACATTCAAAAGAAACTCAAACGTACGTCAGCTCTTAATTTGAAATTGTTTAGAACGAACTAATTCGCAATAGAGCAAGAAAAGCAAGAACAAAAAGAACGAAAGGCGGAAGAAAAGGCTGCTAGAGCTGAACAGAAACGACTGGCCCGAATTGAGAAGACCAAGTCAGCAGAACATAACCAGGGAGCCAACATAGAGCCGGATGTTCAAGAGAACACAAAAACCGTGAACAGCAGTAGTCAGCCCGTCTTAGTTCCATCCTCAAGCACTCGAAAGGCTCGAAGGAGGGCGAGTTCTGAGAACTCGGAAGACAGCCCAAAGTCGCCCTCTGGTAAAATCAAGACCTGGCTCAAATCAAGATTCTCACGAGACCAAAGCCTAGGAAGGTCAAACTCAAAGAGATTTATTGGTGGTGCTTCTCTAACCGGAAATCGAAATAATCAGAGCTCGGTAAGCCTTGGTGACCATGGCGGCAGTATACGGGAGGTCGCCTTGGCTGGTAGGGACTCGGGTCCGCCTCAATCACGCTTGGAGCACGATTCCGAGGCTGTCTCGTCCTTAAGCAACGCAAGTGAAGACGAAGCAGAAAACCAACCCAAGAGAATGCTGACGCCCCCGAGACCTATAAGGGATGCTTCACCAGCCGTGAGCCGGAGTCCAGCCAGAGACTCTCGTTTTCACGAGATAATCTGATGAGAACTGTCTGCTACAAGGACTTGGCAAATTTGGTTCAAAATAATTACTATGCTTTAATGAGTGGTCGGGAATGTTTCGCGTTAAAACAAATCTTTGGGGACCGAAGTGTGTTTGAATTGATGGCAATGGCGGCGTTACGGTGGCAGGATATGATACGTACCGTGAGTTTTCCCAGAATGCGCAATGATAACAATACCTTGGGTCTTGGCTTAGCTGGTTTGAAATCCTACCGTGTGCTAAGATTTACGAATTGAACATGAGCATCGTTACCAAAAATGCAGTGGCACTACTGGGAAATGGAAAATATATTCAATTTGTGATTGCCAAGCTAAACGCAACGCAACGGCATTTATGCGCGAATATGCTAATTCATCATTCTAAGTAGAAACAATTTTGTAAACTCTATTGTACAGATAAGATTAAACGTATCACATGTTTACAAACCCAAACCACATCTAATACAATGTCGGAAAGGACCTCTAAAAACGCTATGCACTCCGTCCATACAACACCCATGTCTGCTCTTTTAGAATGCAGTATCGTGTATTATGATCATCATATCGTTACAAAAGAACATCTCATTATTAAAACCAGAAAAAAACTTTATCAACGCCGCCGCTAGAAGTTATCGGCAACCCTGCGCGACTTCTGGTGGTTAGGTGGCGCTGCCGCGGCTGCTGCAGGCATGACAGTTGGTTGGTGGTCGCCATTTGTGAGCGTTCTCTGGCTATCGTGGGTGCTTCTTGGTAGCGCCATTGCAGCAGCGTCAGCGTAAGAACCGCGTCTAATGGCCTCCTCCATCTGGCGCGTATTCATAGGCCGAAGATCGTATCGACCGCCATGACGCGTACGGATAGCGGGCCACAGGTCGATTATGAAGGAGGCGACGTAGAATGTGAAGATCAGGGCGATTACCCATTCCAGAATGGCGGCATGGTTCCAATCCTCCCGCTTTGATAATACGCCGAAGCCTATGGCTAATGCGAGCTCGACAATGACGAATATCAATTTCACCCAGAAGGAGAGTCGTAGGACACGGTGTTGACGATATTCTGTTACGGAGACGGGTTAGTTTAGTGAAACTATGAAACAGTTGGGGAAGAGTGTGACACTTACTCCTGCCTAGAAGCTGGAATTCGGCACAGAGGAGAAGGGCAGAAATTAGATACCCCGCGATGAAAAGTACCAGGAAGATATCGTGGAGACGTGGGTAGCGGGCGGTGTCAAAGCCCGAGAGGAAGGTCAACCCAATAGTACCGATAATGGCGAAAACGATGGATAGTCCACTGAGGATTTTCTCGGCGAGTGATGTGTTTGGGACTAGACGGCCTTTATGTCGGAGCAACCGGTCGGCGATGAAGGATATATCGAGAAAGACGGTCGTTAAGATGCTCCCTGCTATGAACAGCGGCTTCAACTCGTTGGCGCCAACGTCGGAGATGTATGCGATGTCTTGGCCCGGCTGCTGCGACGGGTATATCCTTTTGTGCGTGTCTATAACCCAGTGTAAAAAGAGGCCTAGAAGAGTGCCGAGCCATACTAGACTGGAGATGACTGGGAATATCTTCACCTGGTCAGTTTGCGCTCAACAGTTCAGATTGTATTGGGTGTCATGCGATGACATCACATCCGATTATTTGACTTACCCAGTACGAAACGAACGCCATGGCGCCCAACAATGCTGACGCTGCAATTCTACGAGACGAGCGAGTGAGGAAGCGTAGAAAGGGGAGAAGCCGCGGGAAACAGCTGCGAGGTTGAGGGACTCAAGGTATGAGATTGAGGTGGTCAATAAATGAATGTATTCCTCTAGCAATATTATCATTACGGGTAAAAAATATATATATTTCCTCCCGAACGGGGCGGAGATAAGAAAGAATGAAAAAAAGCGGGTTGTCTCAAGATCCCCGATGTCCCGTCATCTTGGTTCCATCGTTCGACTCGGAGGTTCTATGACTTCACATAGCCCCGAACAAGCCGACGCGTCCCTTAGTAGTACTGGTGGCTCAGTTTGGGCTGGCGTCATGAGCCAAGACTAAGTAGGTAAGAATTGGAGGCAGTGAAGAGGTGCCGCATGGAGAAACCAGCAGATTCCCTCTTCGACTTAATTACTATCTACATACAGTATAATGCTAGCGAACTGCCGGGTCAGTACTATAATCGCTAGTTAGGGCGAGTACCTAATATACACATGTCTCTATAGAGAGGTCCACCCTTCAAGTCATGACCCAGTGCTGGGTACTGAGTAATGCAAATAAAGGTAGAGGGGTCGAGTGGTTGAGTGATGTAATGGTCCAAGTTGTTTACCTGAACGATGCTGTGACATCACATTCCGCGCTAACGTCGGAATTACCGAATGAGCTGGCGCTAGAAGACTTGGCATTTACGGTGGGTCTGAGTGGGCAGCAATGGGTTAGGTAGGCGCCATTCACTAAGTTATCTTATCGGCTATTCCACTTTTCTATAGCAATCGATAGACATCCAATAGTAGGGAAGAGAGGAGCTGAATATTCGCAGCCTCGCCTCATTGGGTTCTTAGCCTTGTCCCTCCCACCAATCAATCACTACTTCTACCACGACACGCCATCCCGCTTCCGAATGTAGCATCATAATCTTCGATGCTCAGCGCTCTACCACTGAGTAAAAGTCGTACAGTGGTCGAATTCAAACACTTAGTAGGAAGATGGCGGTCTCCCCGCTCATCGTACCTCCCACGAGCACCCTTCAGAATGGCAGGGCTGTGTCTTCACCTCTGAAGAACATCCCTTCGAACATCGCTTCAGCTCAAGCCTCATCAAATGGGACGCCTGTGGCTACTCAGGTCGTGCCAAACGCGACCGCGGCTGCACAGTCAACATCTCTAGATCTTGCTGAGCAGTTGAACGAGGAAGAAAAGCGCAAATATGCAAAAGGTTTGTAACCGCTTTCGTACAGCGTGAATGCCTGTTTAGCCTCTTATTGCGACTGATACTTTTGCTGCCCAGGGAAGAAGCTTGGTGAAGGTACATACGCAAATGTGTATCTCGGGTTCTTGCGGAGCGACCCCAACCAGCTTGTAGCTATCAAGAAAATAAAAATTCAGAAGGAGTTCACTGACGGCATGGCACCTGATGCTGTTCGTGAGATAAAGCACCTTCAGGAGCTATCCCACCCAAACATCATAACCCTGCATTCAGTCTTCTCCTCGAAGGACCAGAACCTCAATCTCGTCCTCGAATATCTCCCGCGTGGTGATCTGGAGATGCTCATTCGTGATACTGAGAATATTCGATATGGTGCAGCTGATATCAAAGCCTGGATGGGCATGTTAACCCGTGCCATCTGGTTCTGCCATGAGAACTTTGTCTTACACCGAGATATCAAGCCTAACAACTTGTTGATCGCGGCAGATGGTGAGGTCAAACTTGCTGATTTCGGTCTTGCGAGAAGCTTCTCCGACCCATACAAACCCATGACAGCTACTGTTATCACACGGTGGTACCGGCCACCTGAACTTCTCCTCGGCGCTCGGCATTACTCCGGTGCCGTGGATATATGGTCCGTCGGCTTGGTCCTTGCCGAACTTGTAATTCGGACTCCGTATATCGCCGGCGAAAGCGATGTTAACCAGACCGAACTTATATGCCAGGCCGTGGGAACTCCAACTGAAGACAATTGGCCTGGCGTCACAAAATTGGCCGGGTACGCTGCTGTCAAGGAGGGTATACCTTTGAGAGGGCGGGATCATTATATGTCTTTATTTGGTACGTTGGGTGTCGAAGGAGTGGATCTCCTAATGAAGACGCTCAGTTTAGACCCCAAAAAGCGAATCACAGCAAGAGAAATGCTGAAGCATGACTGGTGGCACAAAGACCCGCGGCCAACACGAAAACAGGACTTGCCTAAGAAGTCGGGAGGCCAAGCCAAACTCACCGAAGATCTAAAGAGGCGACCGGGCATGGTAGATGACGACAGGGGCAGCAAGGTCGCTCGGAAGCTAGATTTCGGCGCTGCCAAATAGACACTGCATCGGTTCATGGTATATAAACAAGAGCATCTGGGACGGCGCTAGCGGAGTTTATTGGTTGAGGGAGATATTCAAGGCAACCTAGACGATGTATCGGGCGTTTCGTCATCTTTGTCAAGTCTAAAGAACCGTAGTCTTCAAATAATTTACAGAGTCTGTAATATGGTACATCTTTGTACATTTTGGCATATTCGTGACACTTTGCTTTCTATCTCTGGTTTTCGGCCTGTCATAGCTCACCCCTCTCACGAGCCTCCCTGCGCTCAGCAATACGCCTCTTGTACCGGATCTCTGTCCGTCTGCGTTCACCGCCGTCGATCTTGCGGCCCCGGCGGTCCTCCCACATGCCCTCCGTAACGGTAATGCGAGCACCCTCGATACCTTTTAAAGGCAGTGCATACGGGCCCACGATGTCCTTCGCCCCTTGAACGTGGTATCCTTGGACGCGCGACAGCTCGGCCGGGTCGCATTCCTTGATACTGCGGCCGGTGGGGACGTTGACCACCAACTTCCGCGGCGTCTGCGTGGGGTCGGCGCCCGGGGCAGCCTCCAAAACCCGCAGGTCCGCTACACCGCCCTCGACGTGCTGCAGATCGCCCCCGATGCCGTATTGTCCGTGGCGGAACCGCTGGCGCCACCGTAGAAGATACTTGCGCGCGCGGGGCGGCTCGACGCCCAGCTCGCGCAGCTGCTCCGATGTCAGCGTGAAGAGGGTCTCCCAGTCGGGGATCTTGGCTGCATGCTGCTTGAGGTCCCGTCCGATCACGGTTAAGAAGGTCGGCACGTCGGGGACGAAGGCCGTTGGGGAGGGGATCTTTGAGGGTTTGGCGGATGAGGTTGTTGAGGCAGCGCGCCGTATTGTGGATTGGAGAAAGGTCTGCTGGATTGGGGTCGAGGGGAGTATGGTACGCAGGTTCTGCGGGCGGAAGAGCGACTGGGGAGGGAAAATCCATTTTAGCATGTCATACACAGCAGCGAAGCAAAGACTATTGGAAGGGGAATGACTGACCTTTATGCTTGCCATTTTGTAAATCGGCTTTTTATGTTATGGTGAATGTGAACAATTGTTATATCCGGGGGTCAATTGGCGTCTTCTTCATCATTACAGCACTGCGAACCCACGTTGAGAGAGCTGGTGGCGATTAGGAGGAGGTGGTTGAGTCGGCTTGCCCTCTGGATCGCGAGTCTTGCCGGTGATGGCACCCCCAAAAAGTTGACTCGGGACAAGCTGCACTGGCGATCGGTGAAGGAATTTCATAAACTCCGATAATTATGATAATTATTCACTGACGACGGGGCTTACTTAGTGGTTCCCGGCGCTAGGGACAGGGCGTTGGTGCCGTGGGCTGTGGGCTGTGGGGGGCTCTGCAGGGACCCAATTAAGCAATGTTTTACTACCTACCTACAGATGAGCCAAAAGCGAATAACCTACCTAGGTAGGTATGTATATGTGCGTGTCTCTCCAGGCATCCATCAGTCTAGGTATGTACAGTAGTTACTTGTTGCTCATGTCACTTATAGACTATTACAGCGCAGTCCAGATTTTGATATCTCTAGGTCTAACGTGTACTCAAAGCACGTGTTGATCCCCGTCTCTATAAAAGCCCCGCTCTCTGCCCACTCTAGCCTGACTACCTACATAGGTACCTACAGTAGGTACATACCTACTTGTATGTCGAATATGATTGATTAATGGTCGCCCCTCGACTTCGACATGCAACAATCCCACTCCTTCCTTTCCTTGAATCTCTATCTGCCTTACTACCTAGAATTTCATACTTCATTCATCACACCCCGTCTCATCGTACTGAAACTACCACCTAGGTTCCTCCGTTCACACACTGTTGAGATGATGTGATCCGCAAAATGTGATGTCCAAGCTCAACCAAACTAGCTGTCCCGTGTAATAGCAGCGTTTGCTGGTCTGAACATCAGTTCACCCACTTTGACAATGCCGTGGAAACGGAGAAAGATCGAGAAACCAATAACTATCCACCCTGGTGGTCCGTGTAACGTCCCGCCCTACAGATATGGCCTCTGAAATGTGCTAATTCCTTAAAAGAACCTTTCCCAAACACCCTTCTCGTCGCCTTGCGTGACCTAGCGCTGCATACGCAAAATGGCAAAGAGGCTGCTAACGAACCATCCCAAAAGCGCCGCCGGCTTGATCCGGTCGAGCCCATCCCGGTGCTGCGTGAACAGTTCACTGTATCTCGACCGACCGGAAGTTCTTCTTCGCCCATCCTAGGTCAGGTTTTTTGTAATGATGCCGGTCGTTATTTCACATTCCGCTTGCATAAGCAGGATCTGATCTTACAGACTAAAGCGATTGCCCCATGTGATACTTTTTATTGCCACATATCCATCGACCAAAACTTCTCCAATACTGCTCTTGCAGCGTTAGAAGTCTTGGATCTCAGTCGAGAGGATAGCACCCAAGAGGGTGCTTTGACCGTGCTGACCACAATCTCTCTCAACGAAGATGATGGCATGCACCACTTACATTTCACCTTGACCGTCAATTTTAATACTGCAACATACACGCTTCGTAACGCTAGACAGAGGCAAATAAGTAAGCACATCCTAGATGTGCTTAGGATACCCGGACCAAGCCAGTCTGTCGTCGACCAAAGCACTGCAATCTCACCCCGCTCATTTTATCAAGCTGCGTTCATGCCTACTCGGGGAGAATTTAACGACCTACAGAGTGTTGTGATCCCTGATTTGAAAGCAGAATTATATCCATTCCAGCGTCGAGCAGTGCAGTGGCTATTGATGAGGGAGGGCATCATGTACGATGGCATGGGCTCAGATGGAGTGCTACAGCTTACGGAATATCCTCGACCGCCTAAATCAACACTTCCATTCTCGTTCCACTGTTGCAATGATGTTAATGGGCAGCAATACTATGTGAGCGACCTGTATCACCTTGCAACACGTGATGTAGCTCCTTTCCAAGACGCTGAGAATAACTTGCGCGGCGGCATTCTCGCGGAAGAAATGGGACTCGGTAAAACTGTCGAAATTATCTCATTGATTTTGGCACACGAACGCGAATCACATACCCCTGCCCAAATAAACTCAGAGGGTGATATAGTACTACGTTCCACTGGTGCCACCTTAATTGTCACGCCAGAAACCCTTCTTAATCAGTGGATTTCTGAATTCAACAAACATGCACCGAATCTGCTCGTCATGAAGTATCCTGGCATAAAAGTTTGGGCGAAGGACAAGACACTCAATATCGAACAACACGGGGAAAGCCTACTTACGCGGTGTATCGACAAGCTTGTAAACTGTGATGTTATCATTACCACTTATAGTGTTCTCCAGGCTGAGCTTCACTTCGCCGTAGCCCCTCCAGCTCGCTCGATGCGATACGAGAAAAGGCATGAGCGTCACACGTCCCCGTTAGTCCAGATTGATTGGTGGAGAATTTGTCTTGATGAAGCCCAGCAGATTGACACTGGGGTGAGTAGTGCTGCCAAAGTAGCTTGCCTCCTTCCTCGGGTCAATGCCTGGGCTGTCACGGGCACCCCGGTCAAAGATGATCCCAATGATCTTTGGGGTTTACTTTTATTTCTTCGTTATGAACCCTTCGCTTCTTACCAAATCGTATGGAAAGCATTACTTCATACCCATAAAAGTCTTTTTGGCCCTTTATTCAACAGAATTGCTATTCGACACAGTAAGTCAGCAGTTCGCGATGAGCTAAGACTTCCATCTCAAAAACGCCATATCGTCACCATGCCTTTCACGGCAATTGAAGAGCACCACTACCGATCACAATTTAAGGCACTTGTCGCGAAAGCTGGTCTCAGCGAGCAAGGAACCCCCCTAGATACAGACTGGGACCCAGATGACCCATTTGTTGTAGAATTCATGAAGAAGGCACTTGCGTGTTTAAGGCAAACAATATTACATCCCGAGCTCGGATCAGGAGCTGCCGCTAAAGTGTCGGTTTATAAGACATTAGCAGAGCACCTAGAGACCATGATAGAGCACTCGGAAGCCAGTATCAAGTCTCATCAACGAAGTTATCTAATTGCCAAACTCAGCAAAGGTCAACTTCTGGAGAACACTCCAAGAGTCACGGAGGCCTTGAAGATTTGGGACGAAGTCCGAGAAGAAGTCGAACCCATCGTCCTCGAAGCCCGCGAGGAGCTCCAAAGAGCGCTAGAAGCTGCTCGGCAAGAGCAAGACTCAACTGACGATTCTGAAGATGAAGAAGTACCAGAGACAGCGAAAGTCGGCGATTCTCGGCGAAAGCTTCGCTTGTTTCTCGATCTTCAACACCGAGTCACATTTTTCATTGCTAGTGCTTACTTCCAGATCAAGTCAGATGACAGCTTAACTCAGCCAGAATCGGACGAATTCAAACGTTTAGAGCAGTGTGAAACCGAGGGTTATGAATTAGCCCGGAAACTCCGGCGTGAGATCCTTCAAGAACCGCTTGCGAAAGTCTCAAAGCTACTGGAGAAACTACGCGACCGTGCAAATAAGCAGTCATTTGTCGAAATTCCCGAGATAGTTGTATCCGATCTGCACGGTTTACAGAGTGGGCGGATAGCAGAGGACTTGCAAAACCTTGGTGCATCTCTCAACGAGCAGGCTGACGTTATTGATGTTTGGCGAGAAACTATTATTCAACTATTGCTCAAACCTTTAGTTGATGCGGAGGATGAGGACGAAATAACTGGTGAGGAATATGGGAATTCTACCATGGTACAAGATCATCTGATGGTTTACACCCTTGGTTTGGGGGCCATTCTCGGTGACCGCCAAGAAGCGCTCTCCGGCTTGATAAACGAACGTATCCGGTACGAAACCGCTACTGCCGAAGGGATGGCTAAAGATGGAGAAGGACATGCACCCGAAAAGTTATTGGAACTACTTCAGATACGACAGGAGGCCAAACCACTGCCAGCTGGGCAGTCTTTCCGTGGTATTATTTCGGCGTTAAGAGAGCTTTCCACAACTCTACGTCACGATGCGTCCATGGGTAGCACTCGAGCTAGAGTAGAGCTCGAAATTGTTACAAGACAACTCAGAACAACACAGGACATACTCACCAAGCAGAACAAGGTCGCTATAAATCTTGAGAAAGACTTAGAATTCTTTATTTCTACCATGAATGCCCGTGTAGATTACTATCGTCAGCTACAATCTGTATCGGATAACGTTGCCCCATTAGCTCCAGAACTCAGCAGCAATCAACTCAGGTCTTGGAATAACTACGTTGCCCAGGAGGCAGAACTGAGGAAGAAGGCTAATCATTGGGTTTCCAATCGCCGCCATCGTAAGTTTGATACCTAGAGAATATCATAATAGTGCTAATAACGTTTATGTTAGTCATACACATGAGAGATGATGGCTCTAGTTCTAACGAGCCTTGCGCTATCTGCCGCATGGATGACTACACTATCGGGGCGATCACAACGTGCGGACATACATTCTGCAAAGAATGCATTGTCCAGTGGCTAAGATCTAAATATAAATGTCCGCTTTGCAAGGAGTATCAAAGTCCGTCCATGCTAAGCGAGTTTACCAAGACTAAAGCGAACGCGAAAGTGCATTTGGCCGACTCTATCAGTCCGAGCTTACGAGGAGATTACCAAACAGGATCGGGGTTATACTCAAACATCTCTGATCATCAGAGACGTGCTATACAAAATGTCAAGCTCCATGGCCCCTCGTACTCTAGCAAGGTCGACACTCTAATCAAGCATCTACTTTGGCTACGAGAAGAAGATCCAGGAGCGAAATCAATCATCTTCACACAGTTTCGAAGCTTTCTCACTATCCTTGGACAGGCTCTAGAAGGACACCGTATCGGTTTCGCAACTTTCAGCCGCGGGGGCAACAAGGCACTTGAAATCCAGAGGTTCAAAGATGACCCCAGTATAGAGTGCTTGCTAATGGATGCCAAGGCTCATTCCAGCGGCCTCAACCTGGTCAATGCTAACCATGTCTTTCTCTGCGAACCACTGCTGAACACGGCCTTGGAATTCCAGGCAATTGCTCGAGTGGACAGAATCGGACAGGAGCACGAGACAACTGTCTGGCTTTATATCATGGAAGGTACTGTGGAGGAGAACATTCACATCCTTTCTGAGCGGCGCCGTTTAGCGCACATAGGCGGAGAGGGAGAAAAGGGTAAGTACAAAGAAACAGAGGCAATCAGTGCACTGGAATCAACTGAGTCTCACCTTGCCCGGTTGATGAGTAAGGACGATGACGGAGAAGTGATTGATAAGGGAGACCTTTGGAGTTGCCTGTTTGGTAGCGCAGCTCAGGCGTAAAGCGTTAGTATGGTTTGGTATGTGTTAGCTTATGTTCATAGTGGCCATGGCTGAATGAGGATATGAAGATACTATGTCTAGAGTTTGAGGAACTTGCTACTGTAAAAATACCTATGGCTATCAGATTAAACGCTTTGCACCAGTTATCAACGCGTAGATTATAACAAGGGCAGGAATATTAGCCTTAGAATCTAGGCAATCCAGATTATAATGAACAACTAGGGCTGCATAACTCCTTGACCAACCAACTCCTTCTTGGCTGTTGGTAGCTTGACTTGACTCTATATACAACTGGTCTGGCAGTCCAGACCGCCTAGGTCTCTGGGGTCTGTTTCAAGAAGCGAAGTCTGTATAACCTCACTTTCCAATATTGCCTGCATGTCTTGAAAGATCATGAACAGCCTACAAAGGTCCTTCGTACGGCCGAAGTGCAAGGCGAACTGCATATTCAGCTAGCACAGAGGTTGCACGTGTAACATAGACAGATTCTGACCTTGATGTCAACGTTGAACTCGTCCGATACTGGAAATATCGTAGCCTCTGTTACTTTCGGCATTGCTATTGAGGTAAGTCTACTCGCTGGCCCCCGGACTGATACTTACGCGACCACTGTCAACCCCAGATTGTTAGGAGAAGGCTTGGGCCCGAGAATGATAGGACAAGAAAGGTAAACTGAAGACAGAGCAGTTTCACCACGATCCTACCCAATTAAAGTAGTAATCACTGCTTCCTTACGAACTCCCCAAGCCCGGTCGCGATAGCCCATGCGCTTATCTCGAAGCCGAGGATAATTTGAGAGGATGAAGTTAGTGCCAGGATACGGGTTATTGTCTATGTTATGTGAAAGCATGCTACCTCCGGGGATACTAGCATCGTATACTTGGGTATCGAAATGCCTGTTTCGCCGCCGTAGTTGTGTAAGTATAATAGCAGGGCTATTGTAAGGTTGGCACTAGTATTATTACTTGTTCCTATTATTTGGTTTGCCGAGATATGGATTTTGTCGAGAAGTAAACGATAGTTGGACAGTACATTTTATAGTGTCGTCAGCAATGGATTTAGCCCGGTGTTGTATAGGGTGTATAGCATTTGTGCTGCCTTTGGCTAGCAGGCTTTTAGTGATGAAACTGTAGTTTATATTCCGACTATTGCCCTAAATGAAGGTACCTCTGTGCAAATAGAGAAAGCTGGTTTGGGAGGCCCTTACGGCATACGAGGGCATGGCCTGTCCTGGCAGGCCGGCTTGAGTAAAGTTCAAGGACCTAGTCAATAGCTAGAAAGTTATTGCAATCTGAATTTATTGCAAGCCAGTCCTTTGTTATACTTAGCATTATTGTGTCCCATATCGTCTCTCGTTTCGTCTAAGAACACTAACCTAGTGCTTTTCTCCTAAAGTAATCATGAAACGGATCTAGCAACTTTAGGAAGAGGGCCAAATTGTGGCAGCCTGGTGAATCCCGACGTATAAAGGCATCCCAGAAATTAAGACGGCTGTCACGGTTAGGTGGATCCGGGCCAGTTCAACCTTATCCTGGAAGATCGCCATATAAGTATAAGATCTCTCAACATTTCCTTATATATTAAAACTTAGACTTCAGATCATCAGAATACACTTGAACTGATAGCTACTGCTAAAGATGCTGGTCTAACTTCCATATATGAGATCACTCCACTCCTCCGTGAGAAGCTTCAATAAATAGAGTATATTGAAGTGGATTAGGGAAGCGTGTCGGGTCCCTAGCTATCCATTGCCTCAGAGATAGAATATAATCCACACTTCCGTAGGCAATTAATCCCAGAACAACTATAATTAGGGGGAATTGGGAGGCATGCTGCAATAGAAAATCATCGTGTATTTCAAATCTCAAAAGAGCATGAACTGTTGTCCGTGTCCCTAATGCCTGAAGCCATCGCCGGTCCCATATTGTATACCTTCCAACTGTTACCTGTTCGGTACTATACGATTCGAAGGGCGTCATTTCGCTATGATTTAAATTAGCAAATCTTCTAACTAAATCGAATTAAATTGTAGCCTAAAGTCACTCTAGATATTATGTTACCTGAAGGCCTAGGATGTGTCAAACTGAAGCCTAAAATCACAAGCACTCGGTCATTGAAGGCTCTAGAGCAATAAACATTCCAGGCAACAATATAGCAGTAAATACACTTGAAGAGAAATAACACGTCTTTTCCACGTGAGAGGAACTAACTCTAGAACGTGATTAAGATCTTTGAACAACCTAGCCAAGCGAACTGACATTATTTTTCGACTACTACGTTTCTTTGCCAGCCAGATCATCTTCATCACAAGTAAATTTGTAGACCGCCGTTCCGGATGAGTCACTTCGGTAATGGCTTGTTTGTGCACTAGATGTTGGCTTCGTATTACACTCATACAACTGAGACACTTGCGAGGCTGAGTTTTCTCACATGATGAGGACAGACGTGTTCTAACTCCCCCGACTGTAACAAACGACCCAGAGATGACGTACTAATATCAAATATTATGAGAATGGAGACACCAATAGACAGTGTCTACGGAAAGCCCGTAACTCCTGCATTGAAAATAGTGAACACATTGTGTAGACAAGCTACTATGTACCGAGATATCGCCTCACAACAAGCGTCTAGGCAGATGTCATTAAATCTCCCTTATTCCTACCCTCGTAAAGATCTCAAATGTTCACAGATGCCGATTGTCCGGAATCTACCGAGACAACCCGATGCTCGCTGCGTCATTATCCCAAGTTCATTTCTCAGCTCCGACAGAGCGAGGGCGTGACAAGCTCCACACAAGCCCTATGTATGTAGGTCTTACCTTAATCCAGCGATGAGAATGGCCTACTTACGGCCTTGTCATCGTCGTTGGAAACTTGATGATTTGGAATTTTCTGTCCGGTCCTTTTTTTTTTTGTTTTTCTTACTTTGACGCGAAGAACTTTTTGCTTACTCGCGTTGTTTCGTCGTTGAATGAAGTGATACTTCCCGCCTTGCTGCCGTTTGTTCAGGTTACGGTAAGGCGCGCAGTTACCAAGACGAGTCCTACATGGAAGCGAGCGGTAGGTCCTGCATTGGTATGGTTTCCATTATATGCACGTAGCAGACACAAGAGGTAAAGGTTTATTGGCCGCATTGTGGCTGCTATGACGGAATCTGCTCTGTCTTACTGGTACAAGGAGAGAATGATGATAATGACGTTTTGATTGATTCTTACGCCTGACTCCTGGATGGCGGCAACAGGTTGCGGCGTCATATCTCGATAGATACACCCCTATTCGCCCTAGAGTCAGCGAGAGATACGTTATGATTGTCCGGAATATTATCGTCTCCTACGTTATAAATCCCCGGGAGAAACAAAGGGGCCGCAGAGCCTCAATTGGGCGGAGTGAGACGGAGGTGAAGATTCACTTGACTCTTGCATTTACTCTTGGCATCCGAAGTCACCTGCTTACAAGCTGCTAACCCCCCTGTTCCCGAATCTAAACATGGGTGATCGTACCGGGTTGTCTGATCTGCCTTGCCATATCTCGATTCTCAATGATTGTTATTTGCGCCTTTTGATCATGTCTCGGAGCTAGATATGGGAGCTCAAGTGTTCGCTCTGCATGGGAGTTTGACGCGGTTACATACGTACGTACATAACTCACATCGTAGGATCTGCTGTGCCCTTTGAATACAGCACAGCAGCTACGGTCGGAACGCGCGCGCTTAATTACATTGATGAACCACACCCTCGGTAAGAATTGCCCGGCGAGTGAAGCACTTTGCGCAATAACTAGCCAAGGTGTGACCCGGCGAGGGCTTGTCTGTTTCAAGACACCGTGGATGAACGGGCAGCGATCCCGATGCTGTGCACCCGGGGCTTGTGTGTGTGTGTGAGAGAGAGAGAGAGAGAGAGAGAAGGAAGATTGGTGTGTATAATGCGGTTGATGCATAGTCGTGATTCCCATGGTCGATCCGTAGTTAATGAGCTAAGCGCCCGTGATGGCTATACGATGCCACGGTATCGCTCAAGGTATGTGTTCCTGCGTTTTGCATGTGTGCTTATTGCAACGCTCCATGGCTCCATGACGCCGGAGCGCTGCACCCACCACCAGCGCTTGTTTCGTTTCTTTTCGTTTCCCACGCTCCTAGTGATTGCTTCGCCCGTCTCGAGCATCCATGCATACATAACCTCCGACGTCGAGCTTACCCCGTCTTGACAGTCGGTCAGTCGGTTTAGTCATCGCAGTGCAGCCTCATGTCCTCCGAGCATCCATCCATCCATACATAATATGCACGCCGTATGGCAGACAGCCCCCGCTGCAGAAACCAGGGTTCTCGTGCGTTTTCGTCTAATATTGCCTATTCCAAACGAACATGCTTGTTCTAATAGGCCGTAAAGCCGGAGCCGAGCGATAACCCTGTGCCGCTTTTCGATCATCGTTGACGTCGATACCACGGAGCATGTAACCTACTGTAGGTACCCTGCCCTGACCAGGTTATTGACTGGGGTATAATGTGGCTGCTTTTGTTCCCGTACTCACACTCACACACAACAACGTACCTATAGCACACAGTAGGTAAACCTGTCAACTTCCTGTTGTCACACACGATGAACCCAGCCATTAGGATCTGCCAGATATACATCCGAGTAATTTCAGCCCTGGTGTCAATCATGCGCGGAATCTTACACGTGTAGGTGGTCTTGTGTAATCCGACATGCGCGCACGATGCAGCGAGGTATTGCAGGTCATCAGGATAACTCTTCCAAGCCCGCCTAGGCTGCGTTGTGAATCATTTGCTTCAAACGGCCTGGGTATAGCACCACTAGGCCCAGTTATCCATCTCCCGTTCCGGCAAATCTAAACCCGCCCCGTAGTAGGAATACGGAGAAAAAGAGAAAGGGGAAAGGGGCTTGACTTCGCATCATGCATTGTATCCATCGTCTACACTACCCTCCCCCTCACCTGCCAGTCTAGACACAGGCGGCAATTCATCAGCCACACACTCCATAGTAGGTACCCTTACTACTCTATGGTCTGAAGCTCGGTTGGCATGTCCATGTAAGCTAGGCAAGTAGTTCGGAGGCTTGGGCCTAGAACTCGTGGGCGCTCACCCGCTCGAAACTAAGGCACATCGGCGTGGGTAGCCGGTCTTCCATTCCTACATGTAGCAGATGGACGTCTCCCTTGTTAATGGTACCATGCATGCTCGTCCGGCTTGCCGTGGTATGCCGGGACACTAACTTACTACACTAATATTGTAGGTATCAATACCGTATCGGAAGTATGTATAGGGCAAAATCAATAATGCCTCGCGTCCAGACGTACATAACATAGTTCCGGGCGGAGAGTTATTTATAGAGTGTGTATCTGCCGCTTCTGGCGATTCTTGCCATCTACAGATCCAACTTAGTAATATCGTGAGCTCGTGCAGTGTCTTTCTGGGCCTGTTTCCACCGTTTCTCTGCGTCTCGGCCTAGACTAACCTTATGAGTTCACGATATGTAACCTTGTGGTTGCGCTTGTTTCTTGATATGAGAGGACCTGCATATACATCTGTACTTCGCGAGCAGAAAACAAAAGGGGAACAGGGATGATCCACAGATATACCCCTGTCTGACACGTGTCGACCATCGCGGACAGGGATCGTCAGCGGCACAACGTGGGCTTCTCTTTGGGTTAGTACTTAGATAGACGCTCTGGGTATTTTCCATTTTCGGGAGTCCTCCGTTGATACCCTATGGTAGGTCATGGTATGTACCGGTATCCTATATCCAGGCGGGGAAGGGGAAGAGGCAAAACACAATGTTTAGTTCACGATTACTACATTCTGTAGTATCCTTCTTGCAGTCTATACATGTAGGTATGTACGTTCGTGTATTAGCTCTCTTTCTGCTCCATAGCTATGTTCTGGCTCTCAATACTAGTCAACTCGTTTTCGGCTCATTTACTCTAGACCAAGCTCATATGATATTGTATGTAATGCTGTATGTAAGCAGCCATCGTCACCCTCATCATCATCCACCACCTTGTTACCTCCGAGCCCGACAATAGTTGGTTCCATTGCTGAGGCCCTCTTCGGGCGGTACGACCCGAGCTATTTGAGTCTCGTGATGAAGAAACCTACCGTTGGTGGTCAAGTATAGCCGCGGTGGGTGTTGATGCCGATACCCATGAGGGTGCTGATGAAGAAGAAGATGATGATGATGACCAAATGTCTATCGCGACGGGAGTTGAGAGGATCGGCATCCCAGCTACCTATATACACAGAAGGGATGACGACGTTGATCAGGATTACTTGGATGTAGATAACGACACTACATACGTACTAAGTAAGTAGTTTAGGTGCTCGTATCAGTCGGTGTCCGAATGTGGTCAGTTCAGGTAGGTAAATGGCGATGCCATGCCCTGGCTGTCGATCACTGCACTACGTAGTGACGGCGGTAGAAAACCGAAATGCAAAATGGACGACCCGGGATGCGAATGGGGTTACATCGTGTCAGAATCGTGTCTCCCACGTTTCCCATATCTGCTCCCTCAGCCCAGCTCCGCCTCCTTTCGCCCTCTTCTTCCAGCTCCAATTCAGCTGGTACGCCTTGACGGCTCGACTAATTAATCGACTAGCCAAGTATGTAGTATGGCGGCGAAGGGCAATGGATTGATTCCATCTCTAACCGGCAAGCCGCGTTGTAGTAGTAGTTCGTCGACTGGTACCGCCCTGGCCCCGACGGTATCTGCCGGTGCTACTGTGCCATGACAGCACGTCATCGCCCTCTTTTAATTCCCGGGAGAGAACAGATGAAAAGCGCACCAAACCTACAGCAGTATTGCATTGCCTGTGCAGAGCATTGATTTCCTTCTGCTTGGGTCTGGATTCAATGCTTTTCCCTGATCCAAATGCGCCTTGGCGGACGAACCATAACGTGCTTGCATGTGTGCTGCATGCCACCACGTCACATCGCCTCGACGTCTTGCTCAGCAAATCCGTCAATGTATTTATCCCACTTGCATCTAGTATAGGCACGAGATACTTGTCGATGCCTATACATAGATCGGTTTGCACTACGTGATGCGCGAGGCCTCTGCTTCGAACCCGTTCAAGGCTACAGCTGGTGGCGCCGGATGACTGTCTCGTGTTTTTCTCCCTCGCCCTCTCCCTCACCCTTTCATCTCCTCCCATCTCAGCTGCTGTGACACACTTACTAGCGAAAAGTAAGGGTCAAAATAGCCTCGTGGCACGCGAGCTCTCCTCCGTATTAGCTAAGTAGGGTACAGGGTAACGCAGCTGGCAGAGCTGGCCATATTGCTTATTATCTCAATAGCCTTGCCTATAATACCACGTTGGGGTACTCAGTAAAGCAGGACCATGCATACAGACCACACGACCCCATGGCTCCCATGGCTTACCCTGGGTTGGCCCCCATCCCCCTTAACCTCAATTCGACTTCTGACGACGTTTAACGATCGCCGCATCAACCTTTATTACCTGACTCGAAGAAAATACCTCCGTTCAGCCGCAACCGTGTGTACGATCCACAGTACAGTACGCATAAGTCACGGGGAGCCAATTGGTAGGGTACGGTATCTGACTATACTGGATGTACGATGTACATGCATACTTACCTACATACATAGCATGTGCTGTGAGGTAACCATGCGGCGCAGTGGGAAAAAGCCTCAAACTGTCACCTTTCTTTTCTCTAGCACTCTTTCACACCACCCCAAATTGACTACCGAAACAGACCGATATCAAAGGCCTACTAAGGTTAAGTAAGTACGCACTGCGCCCGACGCCCTGGATGCCACCCCCGGCGCATGATCCTTCAATTCCTAGCATCTGATTGAACCTCCTACCCCACTTTGTTCCCGCGGGGAATACCTACGTGAGCGGGCATGACGGGCGGAAATTGTAGAGGAGAGGAGATGGGGGAGAGGGGGCCGGCGGAGGAAGGCCGTAGACTGAGGGCCCTCCAACCCAGGTACCTGCATTTCGTCTCTATAATACATCGGACGGTTTGGGGCCATGCGTGATATGCGAGAGGTTGCGGGGTTGGCCTTTGGGGGCGGTTCACCATTACACAGTAGCCATCGTTGCATCCTGTTACTCCGTCAACTGGTTTTTCGCCATGGGCATATATGGATACATGCAGGTAAATATTCTACAAGTCATTCTAGAGCAGGCGAATACCGAGCGCTAGTGTGCTCGGGTGTTAAAGATGGTCTCATGGGGCGGCCGCCGGTTGGTAGACGAACGAACAGTAACAAGTACCGCTACGGAAGTATTGACTAGCTGCCTGGGCATAGTACAGTAAAGAGAGAGACAAGGAAAGGGGGAAAAACCTCATAGGGCTGCATATTCGCCTGACTGACTGCCGCCTCTGCGAGGGACTTCTTCAGATATCGGCAAATACGGAAATGACTACTGCAACGGCGTCATTCGGGGCTGCCTGTGAGAAAGGGCTGAGGTGCTGAAAGGGCGACGGATTCTATATATAAACTTAAATAGTTGCGGTCAGTGTTCACTAGCCGGGTACACATGGCGAGATCGGCCGAAAAGCGTTACTTTTCCCCTTTATTTTATTTGACCGCTATATAGTTCCGAGTAGTACATGTGTAGTTTAATTCGGCCTCCTATTCGCCGCCGCTTAAGATATCCTGTCCCAATCCCATAGATCTATGCAGTAAAAAAAAAGACTATTGTACAAGGAGACCGTGCTAGGTGTACCTCTAGTTTGTTTGCCCATCCACGAATCATATGACCCAAATCAGCCCTAACACGCCCGTGCCCTGCTCTGAACAAGATCATGATTGGACCATCGAGGGACAGGGAGGGATAAGAAAAGAAAGGAAAGAAGAGAGCAGAAACATAGAAAAGAACAGGAAAAGAAAAAAAGATGGAAGAAAGAAAACGAATCAGATATGATTGCCAACCCGAAAGTATCTATGTAGTGCCGTGAATCTATTGTGAAAACGAAAGGAGGCGAAGAGGGAAGAAAGTAAAGCTGGGCTAAGGCAGCCACAAGCGGGAAGCAGAAGAGGCCACCTAGAAAATCCAAAGTTCTCATGTACATCGTTACGATTTCGTATCACACTGTTCCTAGTAAGCCCCAACCAAGGGCTAACAGTTCGTCAAACGTCATTGTTCGCAGTCTGAACAACTGGCTGTAATGGATTCGGTAACAGGTAAGGAGAGCTGTCCAACGGGGCAATGTGATGTTTCGTTTAGGTCTGGTAAGAAGACCCATCGCCACTGTTGGGATCGTAGTCATGGTCGTAGTCATAATCATAATAGTATTGCTGGTCCTGGTAGCGGTCATCTCCACCGCTACTTCCCTGGCTGCCCCAGCTTGCAGTCTGCTGCTGCTGAGAAGATGATGTGTAATAGCCAGAGTGTGTGTTGTAGTATTGGGAGACATCATGTGTGTTGTTATCCCTGGCGCTGCCGCGCCGAGTCTCGCTTTCGTGGCCCCGTGCAACAACGTGCATCACTAAAGGCTCGAGAATTAGTCCCATTCTTCCCATTTACTCGCATGACGCTCAGTAGAGGAATCCTTACTGCTGACACCACCCCAGGGCAATCCGGACAGCTCTTCATCGCCTGGGCCGAGATCATCCGCGGCGGGGACACGATAACTACCCCCTGCATTCTCCTGGTTGCGGTCATCTCGTTCGGTACGCTCCTTGTGCTCCTTTTGCTTCTCGCCTGTATGCATAGAATTAGCTATACAAGCCCATCTTAAGCTACTAAATGATTAGGGGGTTCGGGTCTCCTACGGAATTTGCGCTGCGCAATCCGATTCTGGATACGTCTTCTCTCCTCGGGCTCCGTCACGTCAGTCCAGTCGTCGTTTTTAGCCTTCGCCTTAGACTTAGACTTTGAGGAATGCTTCTTAGAGCTCGAGTCGTGAGGGTATTTGGAATGATATGATGACATCTTTCTCGTGTCTTGCTCTTTCTCTGTCTCGGAATTTTCCTCTAAGTGCACTGATGCTCTCAGCCAAGGAGACGTTGAAGGGGATACGGTTGGTGTTGTCGATGCTGTTATCACTATGGGGAGTTTGGAGGCTATTTCGACTTCCTCTGATGTGGTTTCTTCTCTGTTTTGTGACTGAGTGAGGATGATGGGGGATGATGATAGAAATAGTTGATCTTGCTTGTCTGACATCTGTGGAAAGAAGGAGGTCTTCCCTCTCAAGAGTGCTCGGGGACGACCTTTAATATAACAAAAAGAGGGTTCAGATATTGGCAATGGTCTCCTGCAAGTCCTAGATGACTCGTAGTTTTGGGGCTCATCTAAGCAGTGATGCTGGTGTAAATGTAACCATGAGATGATGTATGAGGTAAAGGCCAGGATTTAATTCTCGACTTGTCTTTGCCTAGGCACCAAAGACCGTTCTCGTAGCATTTGACCAGGAGCTGATATGGATATGTGCGTCAGTGGATTTGTTTAGGTCCTACCCTCTTTTGTATTTCGAGGCTCCAATGCAGTGCTGCGATGTCAGCTAGTATCCGCACACCGGTACATCAGTTGTAACGGTCGGTTGCCAAAGTAGTAACTGGTTGACCAAAATGGCTGTCACGTTTTGAGCCCCAGTGCGGCTACCTTTCAGTCTTACATCTAATAGCTGGCATCGGGGATGATTCATTATAAAGTACCCTAGGCTGTAATACAGAAAGCCAGTGACTTCGTCCATCCTGACCGGATACACTAGGAAGCTGCCTTGAGATGTAGATGGTGGCCTGAAGGATGAATAGTTCCATAGCCGACGTCAAGAACACAGTTGCAACGGCAGACATCACGAGGGACCCCTGAGAGCTGGAGACAGTTGATTCCTAAAACGTTTAGTCTTTGGAGATATGGTACGAGTAAGTATGGTTAGTTTTCGAGAGTCTTGTAAATGGAAGGATGTAAGTAGATAGGATTGCTTGGTTGGTTGGAGGTCCCTCCCTGTCTTGGGAGTGAAATTCGACCCTGCCCTAGACTCTAAAGGGTAAGAGAGCCTAAGTAATATATGACTGGAAGGGGCATGAAATTCTTAGCTTTCTTTTTCTTTTGTTTCTGGTTGCTGGTCTTGTTGTGCTAAGCGGCGCCAGGTTTGATATGGCTAACAAGGAAAGAAGAGAGCTCTAGTATGCATGTACACACAGATACAATCGTACACATTGCCAAGGGCATACCCCGGTCTAAGCTCGCCGCTGGGAGTGTGGAGCTAGGCAGGATGCTCCAGTACATAGTACATACAATACCTGGTCGAGTGGTCTACATGTCCAGGAGAGACAAGTACCATGTATGCTGCATAAGTAAGTGGATGATGTTTAAGCTAGATCTGTCATGGTTCAGATGACTTAGCGTGGCGCGATGGCATACCGAGATGCTCGTATGAAGCTGGCCAGGCGGCAATAAGTACCACGGTAACATCACACAGCAAGATGCGACGAAGGAGGGGTGCGACTTCACGACAGTTTCACGCAGCATACTGTAGCGTTCTATTTGTTGGTAATCATCTACTGCGTCGATGAATGATATAATATGATTACGCCTCGAAATCTCGGCCGCTCCCGGTGGAGTGTATCCGGACGATCAATGGGTAGGTTTAAGTAAGTCAGACTTCGATAAGCGAGGAGAGGGTCTTAGCATCACTTGGTTACATGAATGTGACGGTGACTGAATCCTCGAGTTTCCTCGCTCCAGGGCGTCTAATTTTCTAAGCGAACACCATCCGCGCTTGTGGGTCGCTGCCCGTATATATCGGCGGGTACTTTGGGTAAGTATGCATGGGCATTTAGCAGTTGTAGAGAATCGTCACGATGGAGCTATGGCAATTCATTTAATTATCTCTCGTTTGCACAACGGCCAGTCCGGCGTGGTAAGTCTAGACTGGTCAGAGGGTTTCCAAAATAGACCTATGCTGTCAGCTCTATGAGGCTGAGAAACAATCGATTGAGACACAGATTCTCAGTTGCTATTTGGAGCCAGATAAGTTGAAAGTCCAGGTTTGGCGAGTTATGTGCAAGGGTTGGTTAAGTGGGAGCTTCCTATCGATCCACCTGAGCCGGCCATTATTGCTAGGGGTGAAGCTGGGCTCAGTTCTAGATGGCAACTTCAATTACATTCTGACGGCAACGGAGTTCCCTAACCTAGTGCGCTCGTGTTCTTACATGAAGAACGTGGTGATGAGTATCCCAAATCGCTCGACGAAATGTTCCTTCATTAATCGTTTGCTTTGGGTTAATTGATTCGAAGCGGGGATACCGTAGTCGATGGTATTCCGTCTCCGTCATGGTTCAAGCTCCTAAGCAGGCATGATGTCAAGCTCCGAGCTCCAGCTTAGCTAGTAAGAAAAAGCTACTGTACGCTAGGACACTCAAGGATAAGGCGTGGCATCCCATGTCCCTAACGACTAGCAGTTGATCATCGTCGACACGCCACGAGACTTGATACACATGCAGCCTACGATGCTAACGGTTATACAGAACACACTAGGCGCTAAGTGGGTTTCGGTAACTTCACGGTGGCAGTCTGCCTTGCCAAGTTGTTCTTGCCAGATAGCAAAGTCGTCAGTTAGTCGCGCGCCCCATGCTACCTTCAGGCTTCAGCAAGCGATCGAGAGTCTGCATGCTGCACTTCGATGGATACCCTGTACGTAAGTCTCGCGTGGTAGGTTTGTACACAGTAAGTTACTGTATCGAATTTGGTCTTGAGTGGTATTGCCTAGGGGTATTTCTCAAATCGCCAAGTATACTAATAATTGTTATTGATTCATTGTACTTCGTAAGGCCGTGGATCTTATTGGCCTATCTTGGATATCAGCTAATTCAGCCCGGGGCCTGGAGACGATCATATTATGTCATCAGCCATTGTGTTGAGCTCATGTTTGTAGTAGTACTTGCCAACGTCTACCAAAGAATCTGTTCTGGACGAATCACGTCAAAGTGTAACATTTCTACTTCAACTTTTACCATGTACTCTGTTATATATAATGAATTTGGAAGAGCATGGCGAGGTTGCTATTCGTGCTAGTTGATGTTGGTTGATGATTCGAAGCGTTTGAGATCGACCGACGAAGCATGTTAAATAAGGTTGATGAGGTAAAGGATGCGACTGTTCTCAAAAAGGTAATTTGTCCATATGCTTGAACATGCCCGCGACTACTGAGCAGATACTGAGTATGGGGAGAAAACACCACAAGGTTAATTTGGTTACTGTTCTGTCTGGAGGAGCTTGACTGAACGACTACCGGGGGACCCCCTGCATCGTTTAGCCCTGACCTTGGCCTGCAAGGGCTAGCGCATACACCTTATCCGCGCCTACAATTTAAGCTCAGGCGCATTCTATGACTGCAAGGCATTCCCGCGATGATCTTTGGCCGACTGAATATGTTTTCTCATTACTCTTTGGTTGAAAGACAGGGAATCGCCGGATGTTCGGAACGGATAGAGTACTCGACATCTAGCTCACCTGGAGCGAAAGTCAAACATCTCGGTGACCGATGTGTGCTGCGAAAGGAGCCGGATGACCCCAACGACTCATTTCAAGTTTCGCTCGACGAAAGCCGTTCTCGGCGCTTGTTGGAGGCAGTGTCCACGATGGGGTACCTAGTAATATCGTCCCTTATGTGCCTTGACGCAAACGGTTGCGGTGAAAGGGGCATGTTTGCCTTGCTGGGTGTCCTCTGTTGGCGCGCGCCGTATGACTAACAAGTCGAGAGTCTGCGTCATAAGGTAACAATGTCGTGTTGTTTTGATATTACGATCTAAAACGAGCTCTCACAACAGCATCCGACACGCCAGCGGCGAAGATGCTGTATGCGTAATAGCTGATAGTCTGACGTCTTGGGATCGAAGAGAGCCAGCGACTTGGCGAGTAGCCGCGTGGACAGCCTCTAAGCGCATCTCGATGTAGTTCGGCTTTTCCGTCATGCTTGGACTGGCGCTTGAGCCGCAATGCGTTGACCTTTCTGTAGAGCTAGACGCGCATTCCATCACAATCAACTGAGGGCCACACTCAATGCGTTATGTTTCATTCCCTAGACGACCGTTGGTGTTGAAGGTCTGGGTAGAATCCCCGATCCAAACAGATATACCCTAACATAGTTCGAGACCCTCACCAGTTGTACCGTTCACATGATCTGACACTCCAACCCGTACATTGCCCTTTCGACATCTCGCTTGACTTGATACCAATCAGCGCGCCTTTCGGCGTACTCATATACCTCTTCAGCGCGAAAGACACCACCAAAACGGTCGCTATCTGCTATGATGATCGCCATTTCCTTTGCATGCCGAGCATCAATCAAATATATCTGGCTGAGCTCTCGAAGTGCCTTGAAATAGACCAACAGATCCTGGTTTTTAAGTGTCCGAATATATTCAAAATATATGGTCATATCCGCAATTAAGTTCATGGCGCCTTCAGTGCTGATACGTTGCCGTTTGAGGTGTTTGCACAGCGCCGTGAATAAGCGCAATCCAACTTCGCCGTTGAAGACGTCAAGCATGGTCTTCTCCGTGCTTCCTGTTAGCATTTTGGTGTGGGACGAGACTAGCTCTGTAATACGCCTCGCTGTAACTGTTGGGCCAATATCGGTCGCTTTTGCCTGCCCATTCCCTTGTGATGGCGATGGGGGGTTGTAGTCTGTAGGAAGTTGCGTAGTAGCACATAGGTATTCTACCTCATCCATAAGTACGTCAATACCTTTATTGAGCCCGGCAGCGACGTTTTCGTCAAGCATCTGCTCGAACTTTTTCTTGGCTAAGCCGGCTGGATCCATGAAGTCGTTCTTGTCAGCAATCTTTGGCGCCGCAAGTTGTTGTTCGTAAAAGACCTCAATCATTTGCGAGATAATATCGCCCACATTAACTAGCTCGATAAACATGACAAGTGGTGCAACAGCGGTCTGACTATGATCACTGATTTCGCGAGGATTATAACGTGACAAATGGTCGACTGCTTTGGCAAAGCCGTTCTTTACGTGTGTTTGGCCAAGAACTTTGACCAGTGCCACGAAAATCGCTTCACATTGTTCTCGGGCTTCTTCGCCCACTTGCCCACCAAGTCGAACAAATTTGGCGGCTCGGCCTAAATTCTCTTTGGCAGCATGTACTAAATCCAAGGCAACTTCAATGCTAAAAAGACTCTTAATCCCTTCAAGCCGATTTGCCATGAGTGCTGCTTTTGCTTTCAGCTCATCAGTTGGTGCTTCAATGGGCAGCGGGCTGTCTGACCGGTCCAAGTGGCTTCCGAGCCCGGGCGTCTGAGGGCGAGATGATGCCGGAGTGCCAGTTATTGATGAACGAATTGCTGGATTCGCGGTGGCACGCGTCGTAGCAGGTTTGCTACTTCCAAAAGCACCAGGAAGGACTGACACAGGCATCATCACCACCTTTTTGAAAGAACTGAGAAAATCGTTCTTGTCTGCCTGACGGTTGAAATTGCCCATATAGAAGGACTCAACAGTGGCATACTGTTCTGATAGCTTCTGTTCCCAGTTTCTTACTTCGCGCTCTGCATACATGGTGAAGTTTTCTAATTCTTCTTGGAGATATAAATCCATATGTGGTTCGAACACTTTTAAACAAATCGATTTCGCATGGTCTTCAGTGGAGATTTTTGAGCCGCCAGGCGACTCTAAGGATTGCACAAACTGCATGCATTGCTCAAAAAGACCCGACACCGCTTTCAGATAGGGGGGAGTGTGTCTATCATGTGTTACATCCAACAATGGGGTGACATACTCCATGATGATATCTTCGCGAACCTTGTCAACAAATGACCAAAACACATCAGCGGGCTGCGGGAAGATGCGACTTATGTTGGCACTTTGATCGTTCAACTTGCGCATGAGTAATTCGAAAAAGGCACGCGAAGGTTCGAGCGTGATGTCATCACGGGGTGCCTGATTAACGCAGTCGATGGGATTCCCAAGTGCCTCGCGATCATTGAATATTGGGTGCTTCTGAATAAAGAGGTCTGTAGCTGCACTGCCTCCATTGAGCGAGTGCAGGACATGGGCATATCGTCGCATCCTGCCATCGACATCCCAAAACTCATAGCCTTGCTCGAACTCACGCAACACAGCACCCTCAAAGATGGTCACCATACTTGACAGCTTGCCTACTCTCTGCGACCAGCCATCAGTCCAGTCACATTTGCTGAACGCCTGCAGATTAGACAGCATTTGCGCCTGCCTTTCGGGATCCCGGAAAACCTTGAAAACGACAGGCTCAGTATGGGTTTTCGCCTGAGCCAGATCAAAGTAGAAAGGTGCCAGTGCCCCATACACCTTGGCAAATTCCTGTCTTGCATGGCCTCGCACACTACGAACGTCTTTGAGGACGTTCAGAAGGGCCGCGGGGTCTTTAAAAGGAGATCGAGGCTGAGCGGAGTTCAGACTTAAAGTCTCGAAACCATCGATCGCGGCCCCTGTTTGTCGGGTCACCTGAGTGGTGGCTGCCAATCGCCGTTCCTCCTCTATCGCTGCGTCAAATATAGTCGTGCTCCCTTCTTTGCTGCCGCCGAGGGTTGAATTGCCTTTCGCAGCCAACCGAGCGGCATCACGTTTCTTATTCAGAGCATCCTCAAATCTCTTCTTTGCTTCCAAATCACTCCAAAGCTCCATGGCCTTTAGCCTGGCGACCCACCTTGTATCATCATAGACCATTTCACGCATACGGGAAGACGTCCTTGCGAACCGCATGAGATCTGGGACGGGCAAGTAGTCAAGGATGGAGACGAGGACCTCTACAGACACAGATTAGCCCCTTATGTGGCAATTGAAACTAAAGCAAGCATATTTTACCGGCAGGAAGGGCTGTCCTCGATTCTACCATGGAGGTCGCTCGTAGGGCATTAAGGATGCTCGCTTTGGGCAGCGTACCCGGCTGCGGCGTACGTTTGTAGGTTGCCATGTTAGGCGGGTTTATCCTACAGGCAGTCTAAGCTGTTTCGCGCGAAGCTCGTCCATGGAGACGTTCAATGACCGAGGTGGAAATCTCCGGTATAAGATGCCAAGTGAGGCTCGGTAGATAAGAAGTGCTCCTCTTTCGAGGGAGGCGAACACAAAGAAGTTGGATACAGTAATTACGTAGCTGACGGGTGTCACGATGTGGATGAGGTACTGTGGAAGACCAGCGGGGCGGTAACTGGGGCATAGCTAGTGCAGGTCAGTGAGGCACTGGGAATCGCAGGTCTGGCAGGGCTAGCTAGGCGCCACAAGCTACAGCTAGCTGGATGCTAGCAGCCCATCTAGTCTCACCGCCTTCGCCGTCCCGCGGCAGAAATGCAGGTCCTCGAACTTTTTTTGGCTTTCAGATTGCACCCGGCCGCTTCACATGCGATTCAGCTTGATCATTACCACTGCGCTCCCAATTGTCTCTCAAGTTTCCCGCAGCCCTTTTTGGGCCTTTCTTTTTGATTCATATAAGAACCAATTACCAAGGAGCTGCAAAATGGATAACGAAGGCCCTTGGCAGAAACTGGATCCTGTTAAGCTTCGACAAGAAGCCGAGGCTAAGGGTAGGAGATAATCTTCCCATATTATGCGGTTTACTATTTCTAATGGAATTAGAGGCGAAGCTCAAGAAACAGCAGGAACAGCGACTTATCCGAGCCGAACTTCGACGGGAAAAACGCCACGCTAAATCCGAAGCCAAGCAAGCACGAAAATTGAACATCAAGCGAGCTGCAAAATGGACTCCAGAACGCAAGGCCCTGGACAAGCAAAAGAAACTTGCCAGCAAACCTCACAAGGAAGAAAAGAGACGCAGACGGCTGCGTCATCGCGCGGAGAAGCTCGAAGTTCAAGCTCGCAAACTTTGGGCCGAGGCCCAAAAAGCTCGAGCCCAAGCTGATGTCTTAGATCAACAGAAAGAGGTATACAATCAACTTCAACTAACGTACTATCCTAGCCACGGCTCACTAGTGTTCTTGTAGGAAGAAGAAGCGGAAAAGAATAGACTGAAGAAAGAAATTGAGCAGGCGGCACAGGACCCTGAAAACGAGGATTACATCCCTCTCAATGCACCACGGATTACCAAGGAGAGCTCTAAAAACAGTCATGCAGAGAAATCGCAGAAAACAGAAGACGAAAAGTTAGAGGAACTTGACCCATCCCTTACGACCAGTGAGCAACACCTCGACGCTGAAGTGGAACAGAGGCGCAAAGTAAAGAAGGAGAAAAAGCGAAAGCGACTTGCTGAAGAGGACGAAACAGACGCGCCCTCAACAGCCATTACAGAGGTCGATAGTATGGAGGAGACCGAAGACGAGAGCGAAGCTCCCAAAGAGAGGAAGAAGAAGCGCAAAGTAGAGCAGAACAATGACAATAACGCTGAGGTGGAGACAGCTACTTTAAAGAAGGATAAGAAGGACAAGAAGAAAAACAAGAAAGATAAAAAGGAGATATCCGAAGATGATGCTACCGAAGTAGCGGGCACCAGTGAGTCGCCCAAGGAGAAGAGCAAGAAAAAGGAGAAGAAAAAGAAGCAGAAGAAATCTACCGAGGAAGATGTGTCTGAGCCCAAGACTAAAGGCGAATCTCAAGCCAATGATGGAGAGCAATGGAATGTCTCAGCATTAGAGGGCGATGCGAAGAGAAGAGAAAAGTTCTTACGACTGCTAGGGGGCGGGAAAGCCAATGGCGCAGCTACCGGCGACCAAACCACATCGACATCATCTAAAACAGATATAGCCAAGATGCAGTCTGACTTGGAGCGCCAATTCGATGTTGGAATGAAGATGAAACAGGAAGGGCACAGTCACAGAAAAGGACTGGGAGCTTGATACTTAAACTCATGGGCCTGGCGTTTGGGGAGGAAAATTCCTTTAATTATACCACCATTTGTTCAATAGGTGCATCTGTCTCGAGTAGCAACCACAGGGGACAGCACATTCTGCTGCGTTGGGTTATCAATCCAAGTTTGACAATACATTCAAATACCTAACTATTATGTTGCTATTCGATTACCTAGTAGACTGTTAAAGGGATAGGAACAGCGAAAGTCCGGACCGCAAGGGCATTGAGAAATCAAGCGCTGTTATTTTTTTATAACTTCCAGACCTATAATGAAGTAGCCATAGTGGCTAATGCTTATTCGCATAGCTTGCTTCTCGACATGGGCGGTCCCGTTCCAAAAGATAAAAAGAAAACCAAGATTTTGATGTACATGGTACAGCTTAGCTGAAGATATGGCATCTGTGATCATCCCTTGCAGATCTTTCTGAATGCCGTGTCTCTCCAGCAAAGAAGGCTGCTTCTTTCTGTTTTGTTGCGCTGGTTGGATGCCAGCTCGCTACAACGGCTTCCATACCTCCACGATTGTGCTCGGGGTATAATGGTACCACATAAGGGTATACGTCTCGTCTTAGAAGAACACACGGGAGAGGACCTCGAAAAGCAAGCCACCGAACACGACGAAGCCAAGGACGCCTACAGAGCTCGTGTTAGCCGCACATTCAATATTACTGCCGAGGCATGGTTGAAACAGAGGGTGTAGAGAGAAACGAGTAGGTGCACAGTGGTGAAGCTAGATGCAACTCACCGAGCCAGAGGGGCGAGATGGGCGACTTCGGTATGTCCTTGGTTCGCTTCTTGATGTCTGTCTCAGCCTTGCCGCGACGTGCGTCCTGGTCTTTGACGAACTTGGCATTCCGCCTGCGCTGCTCGAGTGTTTGGGCCTAGCGAGTGGCGAAAAGAGAGTTAGCATTGGTGTGCCGCGCCTGAGTATGTCGCTATACCGTTGGGACTTGTTAAGGGCAGCTCCATACCATTGTGTCTATATAGATGTAACGCGGGAATGATGATTGCGATTGGGCTATTTAATTGCTATCGACGAAGGTCGTGGTCCGATTACTTGTAGAGAAGTTCAAGGTTGTATGGTCGGAGATAGGAAGTATCGTAGGTGCTTAGGAAGTGATCGGCGTTGGAACTCTCGATGTGTACGAAACGGGGAATTTGGAGTGGAAGACGATCTCGAAATGATCGGTATATATAAACTAGGCGTAGAAAGGAGAAAGAATAAAGGAATTCCAATAGTTTCTGAGAACAGATATCCCTCCTACAAACAATGACTCAAGACTGACGCATACACTGTAGTATAGATGATGACAGACGTTGGAAAAAATAACGGCCACGACACTCAGTTATGAACTTGACATGGAGATGGGATCATGACATGTGTCTGCATTGTCGCTAGGCCACGGGAACCTAGATTGGCCATGGAAAATCACCTACACAGGTACAGCAGGTAGGCCCCCACTTACGGGAGTTCCCACCTGCTCTCTGCTTAGGTAATTCAACCTACAGTACGTGGGTAACTCTACCTTGAGATACCTAAATAATGTAGGTAGAATTTCACACTTTCGAAGGTCGTACGTTACTGCCATAGTCAGAATACTCTTTGTCTCTATCCTTGAATGATAGAATAAGTAGGTATATGTTATGTGAGGTTTTAAAGAAAAACGTCTAAGAGAACGATTAATGTACGTCTTGAACTTGCTAACAATACGTTTACCAAGTTAGTAGATAGAATATGAGCTGTCACAAATGGCCACTGTATACTCGTCTCCTTCAACCCCTTATGGTAGGTACTTCAAGGTTGCCACAGCGTCTACTTCAACTTTCCCAAAAGTAGTACTTACGCCTGGCTCCTTTGGAATTTTCTTTGCATTTTTGCAGTCATTTATATTATTTGATCATGGTCGCTTGCTGTTTCTTTACGGCTGTAATCACCTCGATGATTTGGCTCGTGATTTCACTACGTGTATCACGTATCAGACTACGCCAGATAATATTTCGAAAGCCCTGGACTCTATTATCGAATTCCAGGTCCAGACAATCCCTTCCGCTACATCACTCGGAGTCCTACAAATATCACCTACGAGAGATCCAGAATCAAATCCATCCGGGGAAACGTAGAATTCAAATCCATGTGTTCGTGGAGGACGAGAGCGTGTTGTCTTTCGGGCCGAAACCCGTTTCAAGCTGTGTTGAAATCGATGAAACTGGTCAACCTACTGGCGCAATACCTCTAGAACCCGACACACAGTACCGGTCCGATATGGACGATGGCTATCATTTTTATTATTCCTATGACATAATTGGAACCGATATAGTACTTCATACCATTGACATCCGAAGGGATCGCCATTCCAATTCGCCATACCAACCTTCCTCGAGTAATTACCTCGGACAATCATTAGTCCATTTTTTGTCGCGCATCTCCTTATACTTCCCGAGCGTCTTACAACACGCAATCTACCAATTGTCGACGATCGCTTATCAGGCCCTTGAGGCTTTTGTGATAATGAATTACATATATTTCATGATTTACTTGCGGCGTTTAAGGCACCGACAGCTGGACACTCCTGGTGATGGATGTCTTTTTGTCTTGTTTTTGTTTTGTTGCAACTGTGACTTTCTATCTGATTGATTATATATAGCAATGGCAAAGAGTTGGGAGTTGGAGTTGGAGCTATCTGGAACATAGTAACCTGCTAGGTCTGCCAAGGTCCTTGATGGCCTTTGCTGTTCCATCAGAGCCCAAGAGCCCAAGATTTCCCATTGTTAATGAAGTCTATATCAACTTAGAACTTTGAGTACTTTTATAATGTACAAGTACGAAGAAGATTTCGTAAGCAAGCGTTGTGGAGACCTTTCCAGTGCAGTGACCTCCGATGGCCATTTGAGGTGGATCATCTCATGTATAATCTGGCTAAAAATACGCTAAGCTGGTACCTTATGCATGGGGAGGCTCTGCAAGGGACCTGCCGAGTTCATACTAGGGTAGGTAGGTACCTACATTGGTCGATCCTCCACGTCTCGTGGCTTGTACAAGCCACTTAAATTATCGGGGACTCCAGGTGCTCAGTCCGTATGTACTTAGAGGTAGGTAAAGGTCTCTCCTGAATGCACGCATCACCGCTTTCGCTCGGGGGCTCAATGTAAGTATCCAGGCAACTGGGTTGTCGTGGGCATCTATCGAGTCTTAACGGTCAAATTGACTAGTAAGTATCTCATCAAGACCTAGAACTACGAGAATGGACTTTCAGGAGCATAAGGGCTCGGCTCCTCCCGTGAGCCAGGCCTCACACATATCCGGCCAAAGGAAGTTTTTGTCAGCAATTCTCACATCCGCCACCATCCATAGCTTCGATAACGTCAATAATCGCCAATCTTCGATAACCGGATCCTAAGCTTAGAGAAAACAACAATGCCGAGGTACATAGGTAGGTCTAAGTTTTCCTCTGTGGCTGGGCTCAAATTGCCATGGTCGTCCCCATGAACCCCTTCTCCGGGAAGAGATCAATCCGCCTCGCAATCGCGATACTTTTCTGCTACACTTCAGACGATAGGCCCAAGCAACGGTAGGAGGTAGTCCAGAACTGCTCTGGGAGCTTGGGAAGTAACTCCAACCATGCTCATTCATCTTGCGGATTCCAAGCAATAGTTTCAAGCCCTCTAGAGACATGCCAAAAGGACTGATCTCGGCGTCTCTCTAGTTATAGATACTTAGGATAGCACCTGTGTGCGGATTAACATGGATATTGTCCTTGAGAAGGTCGGCATGGTCAAGCATCAATGGCTAGTTATCATCAAGGATACCTGTCAGTTGAGGCCATTGCGTGAAGAGTGCTAATTGTTCATCGCTTATGACAATGATACAAGTACGCTGTGGGCTTGAGTGACTACTCTAGATTACTGTAAAGAGCGACGATTGCCCGTTAGGTAGAAGAAGACTAGGCATCAAAAATAGCCTAGCATACCTAATTCTACGGTGCCATAATTATTCGTGATTAAGTTGGATTTATCTCAATTGTTTCCCCCTATCAAGTAGGTAAGGGCCAAAAAGCTGAGGGAGCCACGTCCGGTAAATCTGTTATTTTATTTGATCCTGTAATTCTAAAATCTTCGAAAATCATGCTCTCCTGTTCGTTCCCAATTTCCCCTGTCATATATCCATGTTCAAGAACATTAGTTCGAGATAGAGTTCAATTTATGCTAGTATAGATAAAATTGGGTTAAGCCACAGTTCCACACGAGCTTAAGCCACACCTCTTGTACGTACATTGAGCTCTTAGCCCAGCAATACAGCGCCGGGCTCAGATATCGAAAACTCGAATTGACAGTTAACCTCAACCAAAGTTCAAAATAAATACACAATTTATTTTTACAATGTTCTCCAAGTCTGCGGGCCAGATAATAGCGCGAATGCGCAACCGGAAATTATCAGCGAGCCTAATCCCGAGGTCTGGCCTCCAAGTGCGGGCGCGCTTCTCATCGACGCAAGCGCCCAACGAGCCCAGACCAACAGGATCTCTTGATGTAAGGCCCAACACCCGGCGCAAGATTCTCCTACCAGACAGCAAGAAATCAGATAGAAACAAGCGACATAGAAATCGAGAAAGTAGACTAACGCGCCCTCTTTGTTCACCATAGCACAAGAACTTCTACAAGACCTTCGGCCGCCCCATCGCCAAGGTCTTCTTGATGGCCATTTTCACATACCAGCTGGCGTACTACTTCTGGGTGCGCCTGGAACAGAACGAAATCCGATCCGAGATGCAGGGTGCGTTATCTCGTTCTCCTCCTTTTCCTTCACACCGTCAATCTAGCCCAACCTGCACTATGGAAGATACGACTCGCTAATTGGGATTCCTGCACGGTATACAGCCATCATAACCGATCTCGAGACGAGGATAGAAGCGCTCGAGCAAGCGAAGACGCAGAAGAAGCGATAATGATGATATTTTCAAGATGTTAATGATACCATGAGCCTATGAGACGCGCCGAGGGACGATTACGATATGAATTGTTGAGTTCGCGGTTACAATGCTCGTCATGAACAGTTGAACGTGGCTAGAAAGCTGCTATATGCGGAAACAGCAGCGCCTCGGCTTTGCCTGCCTTGTCTTGCTGCTAGATTTTACAGATGACAGGAGGCTCGATATGCCCACGAAGCAAGCAAGCTTGTTAGGGCATATCTAGATCAACGGTGCCTATATTGGCCATCGATGTCAACATGACCAACTGCGCACTTGTGTTAAGGAGGCGCTGTGCGGGTATGTCCCGCACAGGCGACAGGCAAGACGAGTGTCCTGTATCATGAAATGACATCAGTCGCATTGTAGAGATCAGCCACCTAGTAAGCTATATCCCCATGAGAACACACATAAATCTCATTATATAGTACGATATCTAAATCAAACGCCAAGAACGCCTATGCCAATGCCTTGCTTCTTTCCATGTAGTGCCTGTTTCACTGCGCCTGCTGTTCTAAACTCAAAAAGAGGGCCTCACATGTAGAACCCAAACCTCGACGCCTTCATGTGAATCTTCTCTAATGGCATCACCCATAAGATTATTCCTAGGTTTTCCACCCCTCTACTGTCTCATGTAGAGTAGATCATCATACCAAGAGTAACGGTACAACAATGAGAGCTACCATGTTCATCCAAGACATCGCTGTCAAAGTAGCGGCGCTTGGATAGTATGCTGATCCGGGGTAGTTACAAGAAAGCTCTTTGCTCGTATCAGGAACCGCATAACTGGTGTTGAAGCCATATTTCGAATTTGGCAACGGACAGGCAAAGCCCATAGATGAGGGGCAACTCTTGACGAGTTCATAGCAGAGGTAATCGCAGGGCAGTACTTCCTTGTAGGGCCCAGGCTCGATGGCTTCATCAATCTCTACATTCCTAGAAGAGCTGAAGGCCTTGTTCCCACCGTACTTATCCCTGATACTCTGGTCGACGAAAGTGCCGTTGGGGAATGGTGCGTTGATATTGCGCATCTGTAGATAATCTTGATCCGGCGTAGAGAAATCCTCGCACCTCGGTATAGCGACCGAGCAGAGCCAGTTCTTGTATGCTTGTTTGCAATCATCACAGTTTCGGATAAGGGAGTACTTCTGGGTGGGCGGCGCCTCGCACGGGGTTTGTTGCAAGACCTTGTCAAAGTTATCCCACATCGTCTTTGTGTAGTCATCATAATAGGCCGCGAGAGCTGTTCCATTGGGAAATTTCTCTGGGTTTCCGGGTACAGCGTATCTCGTCTCTGTGCAAACAGTCAAGTTGAAGATGAATGTGCACGCACCATCTAGTAGTATTGTAAGTATACTATGAGCTAATACGCCCACATGAGGATACTCACTAGGTTTTGTGCTGAAGTCAACGGCGCTATACACAACCATGCCACCTCCAGAGCTACTTTCCTGCCTTTTTCCAAGTGACAAACTCGTATTCAAGGCTATTATCCCTGAGTATTCGGTGCTGGCATTTAACCCGCTGATGTAAAACTCTTGTGTTGTTAAATTAGCATCGCCACCTTGCCTCAAGCCCGTCGTTGCTTGACTACCACCATTTTGAAGTGGTCGAATTTGCGCCCATTTCTTCAACCCACAATATGATTTCCGTATACCATTGATAGCCAGGTTCTTTTTGTTCTGGACAAACACTATGTACGGAGCTGTAGGAACCACCTCTTCTGGGCGGCTTGTAAGGTTTTGTGTCGTCAGCAAGGAGGAAGAGGCATCGGAATCCACCCAGTACAAGTTTGGTTGGGTTTCGCTATCATATGAATGATAGAATTCATCGAGAGACACTGCTACTTCATAATTATATGGCAACGTAGTGGTAAAATACTTTGCAGAAACCTGAGGGGCTGATATACTAAAATATACATCGCTATCGAGCGACGTATTGTACAAAACAGCGCCTTCGTCGAAGACAATGGCTTTCTGGGTCTTTTCATCTCCTCCTGGTCCGGGCGAGGTGTTTTCGCTTGACGTAGACACAAATAGAGTCAATTGTGGAGGGTCCATGGAGGTCTGGTCGGGTGAGATACGACCTGGCTGATCGCAAGTGTTAACTGATATATAGAGTGTTCTGGATGGCGTCTGTCGTCGGACTAGATCCTGGCCGGTGCTCAATTCCTCGTCCCCGTCACGTTCGGCCCCTTCAAATTCTCGTGTCTCATTCAAGCTTCTACGAAGTTCATGTGTCGCACCAGCCTCTTGCGCCGATCTTCCAGAGACCGAAGCTACTTCGAAAACATATGCGGTAGTCATCCCAGGGTCAAGGTTTCTCGTCGTAGGATTGTCGACATCGAGAGGCGCAGCCCCGTCTGCAGCCCTCCCTATAATACCCCGATCAAACAAGGGGAAATTGGGCTCGTATGACGGCACTTGGACGTCGAGGAACTCTGTCGCATCATCGTCATCGTAGAAAGAGCCAGCCTGTTCAAGAGTGCTCGGAATCTGGGCTAATTCGGCAGCCAAAGCGAATTGCGGCGTGAAGAGGAAGAAATATAGAACAATGACGAAGCATGAGGCTATTACAGAGGCAGCGAGACGCGACTGTAGCGGACTGAGCTGCATAGTGATTGCATAGCCCCGGCGGGCTTACGGAAGAAGAAAAAGCGAGCAAAAAAGTCAGGAAGGAAGTGGATGAGCGTTAGCCGTGAAACTCGATGACATACATCCTGTGGCGACCCGAGCTGGAACTTAAGGTTAGGTGATTCCGGGTCAGTTACAGGCGTCGGAGGATAAGAAATGGAATGATATCGTCTCTCGTGTCGTTGACCCTAGTAGCAATCGTTTGCTAATGGGCTTTGTGTCGAGTATATTGATCTTCTGTAGAGTGGTTGTTGCGACGACTCGTCCGTTGTCTCCAAGGGGCTGATTGTCGTAGGGCTGTTTCAAGCAAATCATTGGCGGCCTACAGCAGCTATTACCTAGGTACCTCCTGTCAGGCCCCACGCTGCTGCGTATGTACCCGCAGTAGTGCACTATTATTGGCAGTTACTTCGTAGGTGCTTATCCGCCAAGAGTCCCGCCAAAGGACCCCAATACTGCGTAGAATTGTGAGATGTTGGTATTTTAGAAAGATGGGGCATATCTACCTACCTAAGGTTAGGTACGGTGGCCCACAGCGCTTTCTGAACACAAGACGGCAATTGAGATTTCGATTCAGCTTGCTCTGTGTTCACATGTTTTGAAATATCCGGACTCCCTTTTTCCTTCTCAATACAGAGTGTCTTTCTGGCTTCACTTTGACATATAAGCCACAATTACTTATTCTCTGTGGCGCACAAATCTATGTACCTAGAGGTAGGTAGCACCGTGAGAACAAAGCACCAGCCACAAGTCATGGGCGCAGCATGACGGGACTGGACTGGATATCTCGGCAGCCTAGTCCTAGACTAGGTAGTTGATGACAGGTGCAGTGTGGCGAAGCTGGCGCATCGTCGCCAGTATCAAATGAAATGAGAGGTTTTGCTCGCAGACAGCCTGTCGGTTCACTTGTTATGGATAGCATGGTTAGGCCGATCACTGAGCGATTTGTATATCGTGGAGTTCGACTCTGAGGAACAACGCGATTCCCGGGCTTCCTTTCTTTGCCCTGCAAATATCTCGCTTCAACTGCTTCAGTTAGGGTCGTTCGTAGCATTTAGCGCCAAGGACGTGACAATTGCAACGAAACTAATACACACCGGATCCTACAAGCTTCGTACGAGTAGAATCCAAGTACATGGCAGACTCGAACTCCCAGGAAAATAGGCCGCGTGGCCCACGTCTATATCACAAAAAATCGAGAACGGGATGTTTACGATGCAAGCAACGGAGAGTCAAGGTAAGACGGCGCTACTGATTTCTCGGCGTTTGTCGCCTTGGTGATGTTTCTGGTGTACACTCGGGCAACGCCGCGGCGAGAAGACGGATTGTAGCTAACTTCACAATCCGTGACAGTGTGATGAACTGCATCCTAGCTGTAGCAGCTGTTCCAGGCATATGGTCGAATGTGTTTACCAGACACGACCACCCGCCTCCACGTCTGCGCAAACCAGTTCCCTAAGTGTCACAGCCAGCACACCGGGAACGCCCACTGTCACCAGTGCCACCAGCGCCGGCTCTACGCCTGAGATGGTCTCCCAAGGGCGTGGGCGGACACCTCTGAATGCTCACTCCAATGAGCTGACTTCGGTCCAGTCACCGCACAGCTCCAAGTTTTACCCGTCTCCCAGTTCGTCTCATCCCACTTCCCATTCTGATGACGCCGAATCTGAAGTAGAGTTGCCTGATGGCCCCTGGCGGAGACTGTGGGAACTGCGATTGTTACACAATATGCTACTTTTAATGAAGCACCCGTTTGACGAGCCTACAGCGGCCGAAATCCAACAATTGTGGTCTAAAGACGTGCCCGAAATGGCCATCTCTTATGCGCAGAAGCGAGGACGATGTAGTCTCCTCAATATCGAATTGGCTCATTCAGCGCTGTATCTGTGGACGAAGAGCACGGACAAGCAGGAGCGCGATGAGCTTTTCAAGCTACAGCAAACATACCAACTCATGTGCAGCAAGGAGCAGAGGCGAGACGTGGAGGAGATTCCAAACGCAAGTCCACAACTGCTGGACTACATCTGTTTCACAGCCCTCAGGATCGTGGCCCATTCCTTGGCCTTAGTGCAAACCTTGTCCATAGATCCATGGGAGCCACCTTTACAATGGCTGTACATGGGTCGTGGTGCTGGATATGTCTTCCATACGGCAAGGGAGGCCATCAACCCCGATTGTGAGACTCTTATTGCCAAGTTTGTGAGCACGCCGCCAATCATGCGCGATCCTCATGAGTTGATATTGGGTGATTATTCTCGGCTGGCATGGCTACTTGACCATCCCGCTCACCCAAGCTCGATCGAAGCACAGACAGACCAAGAGCTCAACGATGACGGTGTGAGGTCTGTTTACGAGAAGGCATTATCATACACATGCAGTGTCCTCCGGGCAATAGATCGAAAGGAGCCGCAAGGAGCCATTGCCCGAAGACTGGGTGGCTTTGCGGTCTGGGTACCCATCGAATTCAGCAAATTCATCGAACAAAGACGCCCGCGAGCATTGGTCATCTTGGCCCACTTCATGTCCCTATGGCTAGATTACGAAAATCTGTGGATAATCGGACGAGCGGGAGAATGGCAAATACGATGCATCCATAAACATCTACCCGTTGAATGGACCTGCAAGCTAGATGGTCTCTTCGCAAAATTCAAGCCTCGATAAATGCAACAAACATCATTGACGGTTTGGTCACATGGAAGTCAGGGCACTCTTCATCAGCTTTCAATCTAGCTGTGGAAATTGGTCGTGTTCAGTCGCCTATTTCGGAATCGGGATTGGGATTGTTATAAAGCTGAGCGTCAATTCCACTCAGCTCACTTATCAATACAGTGTGCCATATAATTGACGTACTAGGAAACTAGAACAATGGGATGGTCGTAAGTATTATTCTGGCTATCTCTTATGCAGCCCTTATTAACCCTACTATAGGCCAATTCACTTTCATCGGGCCTTCATAGAGGGTGTCTGTAATGAATTATTTAGGGATTTTACCCTCCCCTTAAAAATGTAAATGGCTATTGATGATGAAGCTTAGAGGACCAGAGAATCAAGCGAGGATCTCGTGGTCGGAATAAGAGCTGGATGTGACTTTGATGTCAATGTCATAGTACTATACCCCTTAAGTTATGTATGATACAAAATGGGCATGTGTTGTAAATACCTGATAGCAATGAGGATATGAATTTCAACCATATACCGGTACCCATAATGCAGTTGTAAGAATGAGTCCCTCGCAGGGTTTAGGTTGCGTCAGACATTGCCCCACAATTCACCACTTCACTTAACACCCTCGACACCTTCACTTACAGCAAGTACAAGACCAACACAACTCATCTATAATCTAAATACCTGCCTCAAAACAACTCATCAGGAGCGTAAATCAAAGCACGCGATGGCAAGTATATCAAGGAATCCAGGCCCCTCAGAAGGGACTTCACTAAAGCTAACACGGCGCGTGTCACCATAGCCACCGAAGCGGAAAGCAGCAGGGAGCAGCGCCGCCAAAGACGCCCTCCCCAAGGAGCGGCAGTCGAAGCTCGCGAAAGAGCACAACATCTCGGCGCGCGAGGAGCGCGAGATCAAAGAGGCGTTCGCGCTGTTCGCCGAGCCCATGGACGGCGAGAAGGAGGGCGTGATACCCACCAAGGACGTCAGACGGGCCATGGTGTACGTTCACACCTACCTATGCCATGTCTTATTACTTTTTCCATACATAAATACATACATCACATCATCCTATTCATTTCCATCTACTAATATCCCACTTCCCCTATATCTCATTTTCACTCACCACCTCCCTATAGTCTTAGCTATAAAGCTCACATCTTGTCCAATGCACAGCGCCCTCGGCCTCCCGCCCAGCAAAGCCGAGCTGAAAGAGTTCCTCTCGATCATGGACCCGGACGACGACGGCCACGCGACGTACGAGCCGTTCCTCGCCATCTGCGCGCTGAAGCTGCACGCGCGCGCCGACGGCGACGGGCCCGACTCGGCAGAGGTGGACGAGGCGTTCCGGCTGTTCACCGGTGCCGGGGGTAATGCTAATCCTGGCGTCGGCGACGCAGCAGTAGAGCTCCTCACGCTCGCCCATCTCAAGCGCATCGCCATGACTCTCAAACAGGACGTCGACGAGGCCCTGCTGCGCGACATGGTCCTCGAGGCGAACGGCGGCGCCGGTGTCGGGCGGGGCGTCTCGAAGGCCGAGTTCGAGGAGGTCATGCGCAGAGCCGGTGCTTGGAAGTGAGTGAGTGGGCGATAGCGACGTTTCTTGAGTAACTAGGTTTTTATTCTTCCGACCTAGGAATGCCGCCGCCCCTACCTCATTCTATATTAAGGCGTCCAGTCAAGACGGATTAGAGCGAAGATCATGCTGTCTTTCGATGAGCGAGGCGGCGCGAAGGCAGCGCCCCAAGATGTGGCTAGTTGGCTAGCTACATGGCAGAGGCACACATCTTTAGCTAAACTGACATCAGCCGCGTCGGGACAACTGTAATTTATCAGCTACCACACAAAATCCATAGCTCTGAGGCATGGTCGGAGAGGTTAAAGTGCGAACAACAGCGAAGGTCAGGTTTGCCGTTCAGGGCGATGGACTCGATGGTAGGATATAGGCCGGAAGTACTCCATCGATGATCCTGGTCCTTGGGCTGCCCACAATGCGAATAAGGCTCCTCCCATCGAACCAAATTAATAGGTACTACAACAGCTATAGACGACGGCCAGATATCTCGGGAGAAAGGTGATTTCACGTAAAATTGTGGAACACCGTGGAGTAGACATATCCTAATGGATGCAAGTCCCATGAACGTTGGATCACACAACACCAATATACATATATCACTCTCCCTATGGCCTAAAGAAATATTGCCCTTTATTTATTCTTGTTTATATTTTCAGTAGATAGATATATTGTGAATTGCTCCGCAGATTGCCGCATGTGAACGCCTGAATAAATGCACGCTTACCCATCTAACGCCTAGATATTAACAGAAAATCAAGGCCAGGTATCCTACCTGGAAATTGCCTCCTTTGCAAAAACGACTAAACGGAGAAAGTGAATACGCATATCTCTAAATTCATTCGGAATTAAACCTTTTCTTAAGAGTTACATCCCAATACCTAAGGAGATTGAGAAATCATTCAGCTGGGGTAGCAGTTACATCCGCCTTCTTGGCATCTGCAGCCTCCTGCGCTCTCTTCTGCGAGTCCAAGACAGCTTGGAGCTCTGGGGGTGCTTTGAAGCCTGCGTGGTCCTGGTGCCTCTTGTAGAAGTAATTATCAGGCTTTGGCCGCAACTCCTCTGGTAGCTCGTTAAGAACCGCCTCGAGTATCCCATCGATTGAAGACTGTTTCGAGGAATCGCGGTGCCAGATCGAAATGAGATGCGAGGTAAACCGCACCGAGAGCCCGACGCCACAAATCTGGTCTCCTGTGTCGAGTATTAGCGCTAACTAGTCCTTTAGGTGATAGATCTGAGGGGACATAGCTCCCTACCTTCGGCCAACGCCTGCTGCAACGTCTCACCAATTGCCATCAGCTGAATTCGCGTCCAGAAGTCCGGACCTGTGCTCTTAGGCATTCGAAAAGTCCAGCTACCTCCCAGAACGTTTCGGCGATCCTCCCAGATAGGCTTGAAGCCGCTCTTGAACAGGTACAGGGAGTCACGCATCTTGATCTGGTCAACCGGGGTGTTATTGTCATACCGCCAAAAATCTTGGACGGACTCGATCTGAACGTCCAACTTCTCCAGGGAGGAGGTATAACTGCCGTCATCGGGCTTCTGATCTTTGGACGGCCTAGAGGATGTGTGGATTAGAAACCAGCTCTCTCCGTCGTTGTTTGTGAGTAGCAGGGAACAGAAGATAGATCTTACCTATCGAACCAGACATTCCAGTAGTGTTGAGTGGGCAGAGGCCGCATGGTCTTGAATAGATTGCGCTTCGCATCGTCTCGTTGCTCGGCAGGCGAGCTTACGCTGGGTGAGTTGGGGTCTGAGCTCTGAGAGAGAGAGGAAAGACCTCGTGTGAACAAGCTGGGTCGTGTGGCCATGGTGAATGAATATGTAGATGTGTAGAGGGGAACAGTGGGATGATGCTGGTGGATGATTGATGATGGCGGGGTTGTTGGGTGGTTTGATGTTGCCAAGCCACTCTGTCTCAATGAGGGAACGAGGGAGATTATCAATACTACCCGTGTCTTTGGCGACAGTTTTTAAGAGAGAAGTGAGCTGTGAAAGAAGCTGTGAAGGGAGAGATGACTCTCTGGCAGACAGTTGGGTGGGTAGAAGAAACATAAAGGATCCAGGATTAAAGAACCCTGGGGTACGCGCCCGCCTGCACGGCGCAAGCCAGGTCAGGGGAAAGTAGTACACCTGCGGTAACTTGAAACAACAACACCTTATTCCTTCCAAGGTTGCTACATAGAACCTAACCTTATTCACTGGGCTAGGTAGGTACCTACTAGGTACTTCGTGAAACCCTGCAGCGCTGTAGGTACTGTACACTGCATCTAGCCACGGGAAGCGGGCGGCGGCGGCGTTGTTTGTCGCCGTCTCTGGCCGTCCTAGACATCCCTTCAAAGAGGCGCTTGTGCCATTTGACGTTGTTATTGGCTTGGGAAGCTTGAGCAGTTGAGCGAATGGGGTGATGTTGGGGCAGTTCTCCAGGAGCTAATCGGCTATGTACGCTAAGGACCTACTTAAGACCTGCTCTGTGCTCTAGCAGCGTGACATGTTGCACCGGGCCCATGGCCTAGCCTATGGAATTAACAGCCAGGAAAGCTTCCTTGTCCATAACGGCTATATTACAACCTTGAGCCCAACTGTACATACCAACGATAATATTATTAAGTCGGCCTATTCTCGCATAATAAAATCCAGTTAATGTTCAATCCAATTCCGTTACATGATTGGCTTATGGAAACGATTCTCCCAGCGTTATGTCGTGTGCCCATTGCGCGGGGAAATTATATATCTTGAGCAAATCCATCCGCGAATTTCATTATTGTGCCGCCAGCGTAGGTAGGTAGGCTGTAAAGTTTCACATTTGGAAACTTCCCCAGGAACTTAAGTCACCGATTTCGATCGGCTGTGACGGCTTTTACATTAATGTCGGTTGGGTCGGCACTTCCGCCACTCCTGTAGGTATCTCGATGCCATCCATTGGAAACCCCCGCAAAGGCCATGAGCAGTAGAATTCGCCGAGACACCATCCATTTGCTACTCAGTAACTCCACTGTACCAGATAGTTCTCTTGCTTGGGATGGATGCAGCGAGCTTATACTGTATTACCTTGATCTTCATCTGCAGCTCGTCCTTAGCCGCAAGCTTAGACAAGCTCTAACAGCAAGGGCAAATGTTATATTGCTAACCTAACCAAGATATTGGGATAACACTTGCAATCGAGAGTTCATGCTCTTCTTGGTTTTATCTCAAAACTTATGTCGAAGCATGTTTTTCATACACTTTACTTGTAGGTTTGAGTCATTAGTCGGATCAGGATTACCTCAAGGAAGCCTGGCTGTTAACCTAAAACACAGCTCTCCGATGCTCAACAATACTAAAAATTTAGATATATATACTTATATACAATACCTGAATCTTCTAGTTAACCGCAAAGAGTCAGAGTCGCGAGAACAGTGACATTATATAGTCATGCGGCGCCTTGATAGGACGCCGATATACCATGTCAAACAACTTTGTAACCTAGCGTACTACTTTGCTCACATAGACGTAAGTGTGTACATCGATTTTACTGCAACTACTTTCTTCTCTTTGCTTTCTCTCTTACTAGAGGCAAAAAGGAAATGAAGGGAAAATTGCGGACGGGGTAAATGTCAACAAAAGAACTCTTGCTTCTGCAATACAGTCCCTGAAACAAACTGGATACTTATGCCTCAGTGCGCCACCGGCAATAAGACAATATACTAACCAGCTATGTACCTATTATTCAGTGTTTGACAAGTTACCAGATTCTGAAGGTCCCCTACTAAATCAATACAAAAGGTCAGTCTGGTAGGCAATCTACAAATGAGTTCTAAGGAGCTACCGTCAAAAGGCCAGCAAGGTCGGCTCTTCTGGGCTGTGTCTAACCTATGTCTATATGAAAAAAACGGTCACAGATCATTCTGGCACACGGTCATGCAAATAGAGTTAGATGATTTAAGTTTTTCATCTTCGTTTAGTATTTTTTTCGCTAGAGATACAATGTCCAGAGTCTCGGGACTATGTAGCAGCAACAGTTGATTTTCACACGTGCACTACATTCCCTCAACCCTTCTTCACGTATGTGCGGCCCTGCCCTGCAATGGATCGGCTCCTCAAGTTTGCCTCGCCCAACACCCCATAACCCAATCGGAGTTACACTTGTTAGCCACATTCCCATATCACACAAAAAAGGAGCGGGGACGTCTAAGCCTCCCATACCCATTACCGGTAATACCCTCGCCACCGGTTACGTGACGGGATCTTCCAACGTGACAGCCAGTGTGATAACCACATCATCATCCACAGCATACTCAACTTTCGCCTCAAATGAGAATTCGATGCCGAGTCGAGTTCATCTCATCAAGGACCACCCTTTCAATGTCCCGCCACTCCAAGGGATAGACGCATTTCATGCGAAGAGAAAAAAAAACACAGATAAACAACCCTAGAAATGTGTACTGGTTGTTGCGAAGAAAGAAACAGCCGTAATGGTGCCATTTCGTCTTGGAGGGTGATGGGCCTCAGAACCCCCGACTTGTGACCATGCGCTATCTCTAGTATAAGAGACACCTATCGGTTGGTGTATGCCGCTGCAGTGTACGACAAAAATCGAATGTTTTCGAGTTGACGTTCATGACATTTTACCCGAAATTAACAGTTGACAAAAGAAATCCGTGATGCCGATGAAAACAATGGTATCAGAGCGCAGACGCCAGTTCGTGATATGCTTGCTTCGCGATGCAGTTCAAGTCATGCACGAAGTCAATTAATTAAGTAGACATTATGCAGAAAACGCCAGGCGGAAAGAGATGTGACATATAAATCGAGTTGCCCATGGAAAGACCGGAGTATTTACTGTGAAGCAGCAACACACCAATGGCGATGGAAGGCCCATGCGCTCTTCTGGCACTCTTTGCTGCAGTACTTGGTTCGGCGGCACCGGCGGCACTTAGCAAATTGCCTCGTAAACTCTTCCCATTTGCCGCATTGGTAATAGGCACACTGTCGAATGCCGCCTCGGGTATCATCTTTGCGGCAGAGATTCCGCATTACTACGCCGGCCCAGTACTGCATGTCAGTGCTGTGATACCTGACCGTAAATTTTTCCACAAGAGGGAAAATGTTGAAATCATTGGGCAGAAGATACTCTTCTTCATAGTCTTGGTTACTGAGCGATTCCATTGTAATGTTGTCGCCATCAAGTAGTTGTAATTCTTTTCCGATTTTTAGACGCGGTACCAAGTGACTCTGTTGGAAGTACGATCGAAGGTTGCAGTACTTTGACACATATGCAAGGAGTTGCAATGACATGAGAACGTCTTCTTCCCTCGGCATAGCCGCGAGCATCTGTGGGTTAGGAGGGAGCGGGCGGTCTAATAGATAACGAGGAAGGCTGGTCTGGCTCGCTAGGGGCGGCCGATGGGTCGGAACGATGGGTCGATTAGGAGACAGAATTCCTGCAGGCCCGGGCGTAGGTGTGTTATTGGGAATACTTCCATCCATGGTAGTTCGGTGAGTGATATTAAAGGTGCCAGCGTCAGGTATCTCAGACACTGTCGGTGTGTTAAGATTAAGGGTAGCCCCAGCTAGGGTGCTGTCCCCTTCATCCATCGCAACATCTTCAAAATCAACACTAGGAGTAACATCCGCAGTGCCTGACATATCAGCATCTTGAGACCCGTCAGATTGGACACTATCCGTATTCAAGTCATCTGTGTCCGTAGTAGAGTTTTGATGGCGGATCGAAGGACGTCGCCGAGACCGACCATTGGGTCCGAGTACTGAGGTGGGACGAATTGTTGGAGACCGAACCTGAGGTAGAGGTAGAGGCGTTGTTGGGGAAGCGGGTTGAGATGCCGCGTTGGGGTTGAAGACGGGGACCATGGAGGGTAAGCGGTCAATGTCGCGAACAGGACGAATGAAGCCATCAACCGCCTCCATTGTAGGGACGCCAGTTGCTGAAGGATTGATAGCTTGTCGAGGGGTATTAGGAACAAGGGGTTGGCGGACTTCATGCCTGTGATGGTGATGATGGTGATGGTGGTGGTGATGATGATGGTGATGACGGTGGCTAGAAAAATTTGACCGCTCAGGAGGCGATGTTGTTGGGAAAGACGGAGCAGATGGCCCAGCTTCAGTATTGCTCAACTCCCCAGAAGCTGAGGGGCCTGCGAAAGCAGCAGCAGATACATCAATGGATGGTGGTGGGGCTTGCCTACGGAATGGCCGTTGTTCAAGCTCTAAACGACTAGATCTGTTTGTGAAAGTGGTGAAAGGGGTGGTGGTCTTGGATGCATCCCGGTGGCTGTGGCTTCGATGACGGTGATGATGATCCGCTATCTGTTTCTGCTTAGCCTCCTCGGCCTTCTCACGACACTTCTCGATAACTTTGATATAATTATCCAGAATAGTCGCAATGACGGGGACCATATCGGCTTCAACAACCCGAGTCCTCACATTTTCCGTTCCACGGACCCCAATGTTAACCACGCACTGAAAGGCGAGGTTCCATTTCCACATATCCATCATATCTTTGCTGCGCCCTTGCTTTAGTATGCACACCAGTCTTTCTATGCCTCCATCGACTGTCAAAATGTCTCGAATACGGGCCGATGATGTAGTCAGATAGGCAAGATGGTTAAGCGAGTTAATCAGAGGAAGTGTTGAAGTGCAGTCGAGGGCACGGCGGTCGTACAAGGCGGTGGTTATGCCCACCGATGCCTTATTGACATTGGGAATACTGAAATTAACTTCCCTCATGGTGACGAATAGCTCTCAACCAGGCCGATGCGTGAGAAGCCAGTCGGCGCGAGGAAAATGAGGTAAATATCGGGACGAGCGTGGCAGAAACCGGGGATAAGGAGGCGATTGAGTTTATAGTATATAACTAGATAAAGTCAATTCAGGCAGAGATCGGTCTCGGTGTGTCGGCTGACGGGTGTATATTTGACGATCAATGCAGAAACTTAATGCACAGAGAAATGCACGAGCTTGTTGGTTGCTCGGGAGATATTTTCCCCCAACAATGAGGAATAAAATTGCGCTCTCCTCGTAGCACGCGAAGCTCGGCTTAGTGGTTGACGATGTCAGAGTCCGCAACACACCGATGACCGGCAGCGCTCTATATTTTGAGTGAGAGAAACGAATCAAACCGCTTGTGTAAACAATCCCTGGCGATAAGAGAAAGGGCAAAGGTTATGGCTGAACTGAGCGTGGGGAAGCCTGTACGCGGAGATGACATGAAACTAGATCGTGACTCGAAGCGGCGAAAGATGCCCAAATGCTAAAATGGTAGATGTCAAATGCCGCGACAGCTGACCTGTTCGTGTCGGTGGGACAGGGCTCAAGGAAACAAGAAGATGGAGGCCCGGATCTCCAGCGCGACGGACACTATGTCAGGATGAAAAACCCCATCCAGCGTCGATAGGGAGAGATGGGAGGCGAGGTCGAGTCGAATACAATGGTACGATTAGGAGAGGGAGGCTTCGGGTCGAGACGATGAAAGGATGGTTGGGATGGAAGCGAGTCGGGGGTTGCAAAGAGAAAAGGGCTTAAGCTGGATACAAGGTCTGGGCTTAGCCTTGGCGCTGGGTGTGCAGAGAAGACCGGAGAGGGGGAACAGGGGCACAGACGGTACCTGTAGGCAGGGAGCTTATAGGGAAGCTCGGTTCTGGACAGCCCGTGGTGCAAGCCCTGCAGCACTGGCACGTCGCTGAAGGGACCGCTAAAAAATCTGCTGGAGCAGCTGGTATGCCACTGTGAGTGCTGCCGAAGGAGGTAAAGGTACTTGGCCTTGCCTCCCTATCTCCGCTGTAACTGAAACTAGGAGCCCCAAGAACCATGCGCTAAGCTGAATGAGTAGGCAGCCATTGCCTATTCCATATCACAGCGACTGTTAGTTGGTGTTTCAGTGAGGAATTTTAGTACAGAAGTCATGCCTACTGTAATTGCCTTGTGGGAACGTTATGGAAGAGGTCGGTGGCGGCAATTCCGAGACTCTCAACATGACCTGCGCTCGTTCATCTGTCTACTTACTTACCTACATACATACCTAGGTACTATAGGTATGTAGGTAGCTACAGGCTTTGGAATATTTTCAAGGAGATTCTTATTCTCACTGCTGCTACTACTGCTACATACGTAGAGGTACTACTACTGGCTAGAGCTGTTAGTATTATTTCACGATGACTTTGAAGGCTCAAGAACAAGAGAACGCCATCCGGGTGGATTGAAGTCAAAGCCTGTAGAGTTTCGCGACGTGCGAGCGAGGGTCTGCTGAACGAGCCCAGTGACGCATCACACGCTCACTGCTCACTCCGAGTTCAACCCTTCAGACCCTTACAAATCAAATGCAACGTATTGGACTCCCCAACCAACCAGCCACCCGGCAATCCAGTAAACACGTCTCTGCCCACCGAGAAAACATGGCCCCAGGGGTCTCTCCCCACCACCCAGCAACTTACTTACAGTAGTTAGCCCCTAGGTAACCTAGGTAGGTAGATGTTTGATCAATCCACAATCGCCCACAACAGTGATAAGCGAGAAATGTCGAAGATGCTCGGATGCTCTAACGTGCCTAGCTAGCAACCCTTCTGAATCAAGCAAAGTTAAGTACTGTCTCGACTGTAAACTAGATGGAGAGGGGTGCAAAAAGAGAGGCAAATGACGCAGTGGCAATGGACTAGACCGGGCAGTGGGTGGACCGGCTACTGTCAGTATGTAAGTAATCACAGTAGTTCGTGATGATGGCGAGGTCAGTAAGCAGATACTGGCGAGACTGGTGGTACCTGTTTTCGGTATTTCAATCTTCGACAAGTATGAAGTGTCCAAAAAGATAGCAAAATCGTACCTGACATCATAGGCATGGCTCCGCTAGCAATGGAAATTAGACTACTATATTTATTTCTTATTTGAAATGCCAAATTATTTATGAGCTGATAACTACTTTGCTCCATCAAGGTACTACAGGTACATCCTCGAGAAAAATCAACCGAGTCAATGTGTCAACAGAGGTAGGTAGGTTACCTAAGTAAGTTGGACGATGCACATCGATTGTTACACCTTGGTTATTATGTCAGCCATCTTCTCCGCTGCGGTACAGACCGGTATCTCGAGCACGGCGGGCCAGTAAAGAAAGCAACCGATACCCTTTTTATTTTTTAATTTTTTTAGACGGCGGCAGTTCCCCTGACTTCCTGAGTCAACGAGATCGCCGTTCCTAGTCAGACTCCGTCCAACCTCGAGGTTTTCGGTTATCAATCTTTGTTGCGAGTCATGAGCTGCCCTGATTTACTACACGCTGCATTGCCTAATGCAGCTAGAATACTCATGTTGTGGTCTCAATTGGGCGGTTCCGTCTCGCTGGCACCACTAGGTCTCAGAGGCGGCCAACAAACCTTAAGCCTGTGCTGTCACGAGAGAAGAACCCACTCGTCCGTCGGTCTTGGTTGTCTGAGTTTGGTACAGAGACATTGGATGCAATGCAAGCAGATGAATGCATAGCCGGACCGAAGCCAGTGCTCCAACCTCACCCTCGGTCGGCGGGCTCTCCCCCAGAGCAAAGGGAGAGACTGCGCGAGAACTACGCTAACTACTTTACTTGTACTCTTGACCACCTCAGACAGGTCTCCATGGTATACCAATGGGTACGTGGGTGGTGAAGTAGTACCTTGCAGTCTCTGGACCTGATCAACTGCGGCCGGGGCCGTAAGTTTCCGTTGAAAACGAGGTACCCGGCTTTTCTCCAGGCGACCTCAACGTTGCAACCCATTCTCCTCACTTGCTCCAACATTGTCACGCTTCGGTCGGTTTGCAGCTTTCCCTGTCGTTTTGTTTATGCAGACCCAGCATAAATGGTCATCATGGCCACATACGATACGTGGAAACCGGGACCTGCGAATCTGGGATTGGACAACAACATGCTGTTCTCATAGCATTAACAGGATATGTCTGCTGCTGTCTATCATCTCGCCCATGAGCCAAACACGTTTCAGCCCAACTACAACGAGGGCAGAGATTGCAGTAGTTCCCTGACACGTGATAAACTCGTACGTGCAAGGCATACACGCACGCATGCCTCACGAGTTGTCAACTTATTGGTGAGGTTTATACTGCTAGACGTTGTCTATCAGCTTGGCTCAATTCGCAGTGGGATCTGTCCCCTTGCCCAAGTTTCTCCATTCCCACCCAGGTTATTCCACATGTTGGTCTCGAAGGGCAACGCCTGAAACGTGATAAAAACCCCTTCCATCGCCTGTAATTTGGAGGACTACGATAGATACTCAGGTCTTATAAGCCAGAATCAATGTAGGTGGTCCAGGACGAACGAAGCTCAAAGTAGGTGCTATTTACTGATTACATATCCCATCTTGCTTGCCTCTAATAATCATACTCTCTTCGTTGCCAGACAGGGATCATATTGCAGTCCAAAAATAAACCAGTGTCTTATAAGACATATTGATCTTCCAATGTAACACGAAGCTGCATTTTTTGACGCCATCTGATTTAGAGCCATGAGGAGGTGTTCGTTGACGAGCAACACACATGGAAAGTGTGATTGGTGCATCTTGACGCCTCTTGTCAGGCGCGCAAGCGCTGTTACGCGACGAAACTGACGCTGCAGCGCACATATGCTTGGATCCTCCTTATTCTACCTACCTAGGTACAGTAAATAGAATTCCCGCTACTAGCAAGTCATGGCAAGATCTTAATATTTGCTTCCTCTGTGACGTCAATGGTACTATCCACTCAATGTAGAGTGTGTGCAAGTCATTTCAGGTAAAGCCCACCTATACTGCTTTGCTATATACATAGACTATGGTATATGTATGGATACTGTCAGATCTGACGTGTCGATGGTCGCGAAGAAGGGTGATGCTACCTTCTTATCTGGGGTTGCCGGCGTGGCGGGAGAGGCGCCGCTCGGGTCGCTTCCCGATGCGCCACACAGACAGCAGGAGACCAAGGCGTGGACTGTTGGGATCAACTCCATATAATAAGACAAAGGGGGATCAAAATGGCGAAACATTTAAGTAGGTAAACGGAGAAAACTGCTTCCTGTATACATACCATACTTTAGTACCACATACACACATTCGACGGCATAGGGTAGTAGAGACGAAAGATCACTGTGATCGGAAGCTTAACCAGGCACTCCAGATATCACGGAACCATGTTATAGCCACCGATCTAGACAACATCGGGTTCAAGGTGAGCACACCCAGGATGCCGGATCCTAGCGATAGAAGTGCCCATGGCATCCTCTAGCTGGCCGAGCCCTGCTTACACAGTACTGGAGACGGATCTGGATGAAACGCAGTTCGTCTCGGAAAAGAACGGCTGAGGGGAATGATCCCATATCTCTGATTGACTCTACAAATCATTCCAACGCCTGGCATCCAGATGGGTCATTCAGAGCGGTGGCATTATGTAAACGTCTGACTAAGTTTAAAATATGGAAGGCAATATACCTACTTAATCTACACCGCTTGTGTTGACAAGACGAACAAGCACCTTGGGCCACGACCTCTCAGCACCAAGCAATTCGAAATTAAAGGACAAGCAAAGGTCGTTTACGATAAATATATTTTGGGTGCTCTGTATCGGGTAGGACTCGAATTGCTTACTGATGTAGCACTTGATTTTCTGTTCATGCGTCTACCTATACCTGTGTACTCAAGCAGGTTTTGACAACTATATGGATCTATTTACTAGGCTTTCTAGCGGACGATATCTTGGAACAGAATAGGAAGAAATAAGCCTGTTGAGTTCAAAGCTGTGGCCGCGACTAAAACATCAAGAGCAAGAATTTGCAACTTACAGCATGAAGGTGCCCAGACATGCAGTATTTCTATATAAAACTGTAAATTTATGACTTAAGAGTAGGGTAACGCTCATAGCTTCCAGTAACATGTTAGCAAAGGAATACTCTCGCGGACGTTGTCCTTTCCAGAATCGTACATTCCTTCTCGCTCAGCCTGTCCCCTCTCCCCCTATCCTCCCGGAAATTTTCCTTTCACGATGACTTCTTCACACCCGAGTTCTCAATTCTACGAAGGGACCCAAGAACCATACAAATCCCCCCCAATCCTCCTCCCTCCATCCTCACCCCAAACTCCCATTCCCTAACCCCCGTCTCACAAACGCCCAGCACACCCTCAGCATCCCTCACAAAGTCCACCGCATGATCAGGATATCCCGCGCAGCAATCCCCTCAACGCCGTCGAAATCAAGAAGTCGCAGCATTTCCGCAGTTATCTCAACAGCACCAGAGAGCACCCGTCGAAATTCGCAAGACAACGCGCTTCCGGCGCATGGAAAGAGGCGCCGGACGTCGATGCCGAGTCTGCGGACCCGGTCCCCGATGGCGCGGATCTCGGCCACGATGACCCTGCGGACGAGAACGATCTTTGCGACGTTTGCGTCGAGGTATTCTTGGACGAGGGGTAGTGGGAAGGTTCTGCTTGCTATATGGCCACAGGCAAAATAACGAGATAGCGAGTATAGGTTGACGCAAATAAAGGGGGGAATAGATGGGTGATTAGGTGCTTATTTGTCTATGGCGGTAGGTAATAGATCGGGTGATTCTATGGTTGGACTTGAAGTGGTGACGATCTATTAACGTCGGTGTATTTCTTTTGTTGAGATGACGTTGTCTAGATATTCATTGATCTACATCTTGTTATTCGACTTTATGCTCGTCTCTTTGTTCAAGGTTCACGTTGCTAGGAGAATCTTTTCCTTGCAGCTACAACGAAGCCTATTGCCCCTAATATCCTATAGCAAGAATACTAGGATAACTACTAGCCAGGGTGATAGTACGCTGTCTGGCCATACAATTGCCTAGCCATAACAGTTTCTTTGCTATATTTCATATCTTATGGTATGATAGAGCATTTTTCATCACCCGGAAAGACTCATGTACTAACTGTTGAGTGATAGAATACTACAGGTGCTTGATTTTGTACTCTTCAAAAGTCATAGATATTAAATTCAATCACCGCTTATCTTTGCGTGCCTAAAATACTTCATGCCTACCCATGCAACAATTACCCAAACCCATGCCATAATAGATGTAAGAATCATCAAGGCTGGGTAATATCCCACAATAGGGAGTGTGGGATCGTCTTCGAGCTCAGGGGGCGCATAAGGTGTTGAGCCGACATCCCAAGCCCAGCTCCAGATGTTCAAGCAAGAGCCCATACCGATGATGAAGACAAACCACGTGACGATGAGAACAACCCATCCCCACCACTCTGTTTCGCCATAGTCATGGTAGCCACTGTCTATGTTGCCTAGGGCTGGGCTCCCTGTAGAGATTCCCTGCAGGGACAGAGGCGATTTGGCATATTGGTGCTTGTTAATGGATCGTCGGCGCTGTATCGACTGCGCTGGAGATAGTGTGCGGTGAGACGAGCCGCCAAAGTAAGATTCAGAACCCGAAGAAAAGGCGCCTCGGTCAGCTTGAGAGGGCGGAGGCACAGGTAATGACATTGAAAGCCCCTCGTCCTCATCTGTAGTAGAAGTATAGGAGATGGTAGGACTGGTCATTTGAGCGTCGTAGTTGAAGGCAGGGAATGGTTTCGCCGACGACGGCACGGCAGTCAAGGTCCTCGAGGCGGAGACCTCCGTTGATGGCCGGGGCATTGCATCCGACAATCCCAGGCCGATCACGGGACCACTCGTCATGGAGTCGGGGCTAGAATGCTGCTGTTGTATTGGTGGAGAAACGGGGCTTTGCTTCAAGAGAATCTGCGACGTATCCAGGGCGAGTGGATGTGGTAATTGTTGCTGTTGCGGTTGGGGCTTCAAGTCCCGTTTCTCACGCGCGGCACCGCGGCCGAGCAAAGCCACCTTCCGCAGAGACCCCCTACGCCTGCGGGTTTTCTGCTGAGACATTGCCGCCGCTAGGGCACGCGCGGGTTTATCGGGGGCATTCTCGGGACTGGCTATGGTACCAGAAGCAGAGGAAAGCTGCTGGGCTCGCGAGTCGTTCAGACTCGACTTGCTTTCGGAGGTGCGGAGGAAGGGGAATCTGGTGAGGATGCTGGAGCCGGAACTGATCTTTCTGTGGCCACTAGCATTTGCATCAGTCGGCTGATGCGAGCTGGTGATCTGGGATCTGGAACTGTCTTCCATTGTCATATGGGCGTTATTATTGGCAGATCTGAATCATGATCATGAGGAGTGGTTGCGTTTATTCCCATCATGTCAATGCGATCGTCGCAAGTAAGGATCGGGTCTCATTCGGGGATGTGTGTGTAAATTGGCACGATGACGAACTGCTTCCAGAATGGTTCGGTGGACAAGTCTAAGTCAAGAAGGTATTCGGGAAATATTTGAGTCTCGAGAGGATAAAAGTTGGTGGTGACGTGAACACTCCTGAACTTCCAATTCGACTTAGCGATATCTAACTATCCACAGTAGGAACATGATACACCACAGGCTCCACTAAGCAGCTCTAGCACTTACCGGGACCATACCTACTTACTGGAAAAGGCCCAGGCCGCCTTTTAGCGTACGATGGATGCACTCCAGCGCACTCTAGACTCCCTGCCCCCTGTCACTCGCATTCTGCCGCTGCAGTTGACGGGCATACTGGGGTTTCCTTGTAGCCATCTGTACCTTAGGTACCTAACTGTCTACTATGATCCATTTGATACCTACCATAGAGGTTACCTATGAAGATAGTGATCATCTGAACAGCACAATGCGCTTTCGTCTTATTTTTAAAGCTGTTTCCGAATCTCGGACCAACCATCTATGATATGCATATAAGTTAAGTTAGGTAGGTACCTAAGGTATGGTCGATGGCTAATGGGCAGGTAAGCACTTTGAGTAGGTTACGGCTCGGTAAGGCCCGCCATTGGAGTAAAACTCAATTCAACCTGACTCTCTCTCTCTCTCTGCTCTGTTCGCATCGCTCAGCATCCTATGAGACGCTATACCTAGTGTGCACATGAATACCACCTACATACCGTCCGTATCGCACTGCTTTTATCCACATGTACTTAGGTAGGCGGAATAGGCATGTAGGTAGGTAGGTACATTCTCCATCCAATGATCCAGTGCCGTGCCGTGCTGTCTGTACCTGACTGAACCTGCTAAGACATCCACCCCCATTCCGTCCCGTCCCTTTGCCTCTGTTCATGAAAACGTCATGAAGACACAAATACCCTCTGTATTCCCTGCCCGTTACGAGACTTTCTTTGGCTACTAGCACTGTCTTGGACTCTTAGTGTTCCTTGTTCAGGGCCATTCATTTGCCGTCTTCTAAATTAGGACCAGTAATCAGCGCCAAGAACCCACTGCTTAATTAGTCTCCCTCGTCCGCCCGCCGTTGTCGTGGGCGGCCCAAGGGCATGGCTCCCGTGAACAGCCCAATTCCACCTCCTATCTCAATCATTCCCGCCATCGAGACCCCCGGCGAGCGCGACCAACACTGCGACAACCACGGCGAGGACAATTCCGGTCGCTTTGCCTCTGCCTACCGCCTCAACGCGTCCCAACCGGCCTTGACCCCCGCCTCTGCGGGCCAAAGCCCCAACGCTCGTTACTCATTCCACGATCCGAAGCGGCTCTCTCCTTTCGCCCCGACTTTCCAGGATCAGAACGCCCTTCTAGTCCCCGGAATGGCGTCTAACAACGATGATGACTTCTCTAACGAGAACTCGGTGCCAATTGACACCCCAAAGTCAGATGTCCCGAATCCCTTCAACTTCCAGACTCAGGTCATATCCACGTCTCCCGTCAAGCCCAATGTCGGCCAACGACGCGGACACAAGTACAAGCACTCCAGTATAAGTGCGCAGCACCAGATCTTTCTAGAGCCGCCGCCACGCGCCCCGCTGGCCCTTCCACGCGACCTTCCCATGCCCACTCTTCAAGAGACCTGGAAGTCGATGTCGAGAGACCAGCGTCACCGCTTATATTGGTGTATATGTCATGCACTAGTGGCAGTCTGGTTATTTCTGTCTGCCCACGGTTCTCTCACTATGACTGCCCTGTCACACTTGGTGTTTTTCGACGTGGGTTCTGCATTGATCTGCGTGGCAGTCGAAGTCCTCGGAAACTTCGAGGTCTGGAAGCGGAGCAGCATTCGGTATCCGTTTGGCTTGGAGCGTGCTGAAGTTTTGGCTGGCTTTGCCATGAGCATCTTCTTGATTTTTGGTGGGTTTGACCTTGTCAGCCACAACGCGAAGCACATCCTCGAAGGCCATGGTGGTGATGGCTCCCATGAAGGACATGTGCATGAACACGACGAACCGAGGGTTGCCATGGGCAGTATTGACTTTGTCAGTCTTGCCGCTATTGCCGCAACCCTGATCAGTGCCTTCGGTCTCAGGAACCATGCTAGGATAAGCCGAGCAATGCGCGTAAGTTACCTAGCTAGCTTGCCGAGCATCCTGTCGAATCCGTTCCACTTTCTCACCCTCTCGGTGTCTACCCTTCTGGTAATGCTTCCTCTCTTCTCCATCCACTTGCACATTATGCTTGACAGCATAATTTGCGGCCTAATCGCTCTATCTATGTTCGGATTGGGAGTGCGGCTAGCTATTGCCCAGGGACTGATGCTCCTCATGAGCTATGGTGGGCGTACGGGTTCATTCTCGGGTAGATATAAAGAGTTTGGCGTTTCGGATGTCTTGCGCGAAATCGAGACCGAGCCGAGCATTGAACGAGTCGAGGAGGCGCAGTTCTGGCAGGTACACTACGGCCTCTGCATGGCCAATCTCAAAGTGAGCGTAGCGAAGAGCTGCGACGATGCCACCCTGAGCCGTTTGCGAACTCGGATCTCCAATCTCATCCAGAACAGACTCGGGGAGGGGTACGGTCGAGGCGGAAGTCTGAAATGGGAGGTCAGCTTACAAACAGCCTACTCCTCCTCCACTGCACAGCTGTAATAAATTAGCAATGTTTTCAAAAATGGGTACCCTTCTGGTTCGTGGCGGTTGTTCTGCAAAACGTTATTTGTTTGTTTTTCCCTCCACCTCTGGATTCCCCCCCTTCCCAGAAGTAGCATTTCCCGGCGTTTGGCATAACTTCAACTAGGCATTAAAGGCACATGAGCTAAGATATCCCCATCCTCCTTGCAGAGAACGGCGCGGCATTGAGAATTTGGCATAGATGAGAAAGGGGAGTCTGTGGAAATGATGATGATGATTTGTATAAAACTGTGCAGCTTCCATTCTTGTAGATAGTTACATGTTATCAGTCAGTCCAAACTTACATGTCGATCAATATATCAGTTGATTTTTTTACCTGTTACTGCTAGAGTCTTATTAATATCTACTTGACTAGGTATCAAGAGCTTCTGATGTTCATGTTCGTCTATAGTTGAAGCACGTTATAGATGTGGAACTAGGCAAATGAGGGCATTCTTTTGCACACGAATTGTTGCTGTGTCATTTGGTAAAAAACTCCTATTAACGACCTTACTGGAAAAGCAGAAAATAGTATTCTCATGGGTAAACATTGATCTCAACCAATACTCCACGACACACTGCTGATGATGATGCATGGTATAGCGATAAAAGAGGCTTCCAGAGCTACCTAATTTCACACCTCCTGACTGCGCGCCCTTCATCATGGTCATGAACTACCCCTCTAATGCCTGATGAAAACAAAACTTACAACACTGGCCGTAATATGAAGTCCCTGTAACCCGAGACTCTCTAAGTCTGCGGGGGTCTCTGTGGTGGGAGACCTGGCGAGGCCGGGCCTCCAGGAGCTTGTCCGCGAAGGTTAATTGACCCGATTCTTGATACAATGTTGCTGCCGACAGCGTCGACGGCTCCGCGCGGAGATGTCACTAGAACGTTCGAGGGTCAGCAATTGCGTTTTGAAGGGGGGATGGGGGGTAGCGCGTAGCATTTCGGGCACAGTTCCGCCTCAAGAAAAGGTCGCCATGCTCAGAAACTAGGGGAAGGCAGAAAGGAAGCGATTCCGGGCATGACATACAAGTTGGACCGGCAGGCGCCGTCTCTTGAACTTTGAATAGCTTGATTCCTGTGCCATTCCAAATGCCAACCATACCCTTGGCAACCTGCATTTCGCTAGCGAAGATGAAACCCCATATTAAAGATTCATACCAGCCGAGAGCAAGAGGGGACCACTCAAAAGACTGAACTCGAACTGCTGATGGTTCAATAGCAACTATGTCGGCTTCTTTGATTGCCTTTAGAGTGGCAGGCGAAGGAGAGTCGGCACTGAGCCCCTCACGATCAATGAGCCCGGTCAGCTGTTGAATCACAGTTAGGATCGTGTGCAGTGGGAGTTCCGGAAGCCAGCTCTCAATCCAATCTGCAGATGGCTCGAAAACCCCCAACGAAGATTGGCCGGCAGCAGAATAGCTTCCCAAGCTGGTAGTACTATTCTGCCTAGAGAAGGCCGGGATGCCAGCAGGCATTTTCCCCCGAGCCTTTTCAGACATCCCCTTTAATTGAGTTGGTACAGCATCCTCGGCACCAGCAACTGACGAACCACGAGAAGGGTTTTCACTTGAACTCGACTGGGCTGGTGTCGGACGCTCTTCTGCATCACTATCATCTTCATCATCTCCGATTGTGAAGGTGGCGTCCTCCTCGGGTACATCGCTCAGGGACGGGATTTTTGGTACGGTTGTGGTAGGACTACGTAAGCTCTCAACCGAACTCCGCCTAGAGTTCGTTTCAAAGGGATCGACAGGCTGTCCGCTCTCTTTTCTTTGGCGATTGCGCCGCTCGAGTTCTTCCTGGCCGCTCTCGAGGGTGAAGCTTCGCAAAGCCTCAAACCGTCTCCTGTTCTTTAGGACAAGAAAAATAAAATTCGGGTTTTCTACCAACGTCAGCGCAGCTCCCTCAAATTACTTGTGAATCACTCACTCTCGTATTGATGCTCAATGATGGCATTCAAAGACGCCAGAAGAGAATTCAACAAAACATGATTGCTATCATTGGCTAGAAGAAAGGATGGAGAAGACATTGAATTGAACAGCTGTAGTAATTTCGAGCATGTTGTTTTACTAATACCTTCCAGATATGCGGAAACATTGTAAACTACGGCTAACAATGCTGGATAAATAGCAGAGAGCTTGCCCTGGCTCCTAGTGATGAGATTATATATCGACTATAGGCGATGGTTAGTAACTGCGCTTCGGGTTTCGCACAAGGAAACTTGCCTGTATAAGAAAATCCCCATAGGTTCCCCTGAAGTTAGGGATTCTGATGACCGGCGGAAGCGTGTCCTGTGCGGTGAAACGCTTATTCAAGTTGACACCGAAGTTTTTTTCAACACTTAATGTTTGTAACAGGAAGGCGCACATTCTTACCACGCCTTGTTTCGAGGCATCTAGCTTGTACTCGGTGGCATAAAAGAGAATAAGAATGACGAAATCATGTGCCCGTTGCGTATCGATCATGTATGATCTGAAGCGCTTGTTACACTGAGTAACCTCCCAAAAGAGCATAATCATCTCAGGGGAAAATCTGGTATTGGATTGTGTGTGTGGCAGATATGATGCATTGGACTGTATTGGTTGATTAAGAATTCGGGTCATGCCATCTAGTATAAACTGAAAATCCTGAGGTCGATGCAACCGGCCTAGAAAATGGCGATAAAAGTTCTTCGGCGTAGAGCCAGTGGGTGATTCAGGAACCGGGTAGAGCAAAATGACCAAGAGGAACTGTAAAGTATAGGTGACGAGAACCTCTTTCGGATCCTTGAAAACAAGAGTGTTGATAGGGACACGCCAACTAGCCGGATTATATTTAAGAGTCTGTAGGATAATTAGTTGGCGGCTCTATGCTGAGCTTGACTTTCAATATATTTTACTTACAGTATTCAGTAGCGAGCATAGAACAGACAGCACAATTTGCTTATCAGGGCAAGTGCAGATATAGGTGAGTGTTTTCGTCCCCTTGGTTGGAAGCAGGTTTGGCGACATATACATGCTCTGGCTCGCTAGTGTTACAAGAAGTCGCAGGATCTCACACCGGTTGCTCTCAAACTCCTTTGTTGTAGGCACAACCGTATTGCACCCTACTCCGCTCTGCCAAATGGCATAAGTGACCTTTGGCTTGCCATGGGGCTGTTTCGGGACCGTCAAATCCGAAAAGAAGAGCAAGTCAATGAGGGTATCTATGAGTTCCTCGGCAAGTGGTTTCGCATCTTCGAATTCGTCGGCCGGGGCTTTCGTATCCTGCTTGTCCTCCTGGGCTTCGTCAAAGAGCACTTCATTTGCGATGGCTGACCGCCTCGTTCGTTTCCTCCTCGTGCCCCAGAAGAATTTATCTTCCCATGATTGCAGATTATCAGATTCGTATATGTATGGTAGAATGCGGGTCAGGACACGAATACAGTTCAGGGCATCCTTTTCAGGAGCGAACTCGGCGTCGGGAAAGGAGGGGTGGTGGCGTAATATGAACAAGCGCGAGGTGACAGCTAAGATGAGTGTCTCTAGGTTTTCTATGGCCCTGTCGCGTGTCCGACGGATATCGGCAGGCGAGAAGAGACTGAAGACATCCTCAGAGGATTCTGGGAGCTCCCAGAACTACAGGGGGTAAGCAAAGGGCGCACATGAGGCTCGCAGGGGCTCGGGGCACTGACGGACGTCCAGTAGGAATCATCGGCGGGGATATGTCGCTCTTCCGAGAGCCTAAAGATCCCCTTCTTGAAGACGAGCTTGGAGTCACTGGCACCCATGACGTCCAAGTCAATCCATGTCTACGAAAAGAGGTCGTTGAGCAGAAGACGGCGGAAATGGATCGATTTGGCGAATAAACCAAAACGCCGCGGAGGCTTGCTTACTGGGGAACGATGGCGGCAGTGGGAGATTCAATTGATGAGCAGCGCGCGGGGCTCTTTAGCTATCTGTAAATATATGCGATGCGAATGGAGAAGTGCGCAACAAGGTATGATAGCCCAGGTCGCGATCTGCCTGCAACCCAGATACGTGGATAGGTGGATAGTGTACGATAGGTAGCTCACTTGGGTACGGGTAGTACACGCCGTTCGGTGTTCGAGGTGTTGTAGAGAGGTTAGGTACGTACCTAAGCCAATCCATGGAGTTGCCTTAACAGCTGTTACCTCATTGTCTCCAGTCTTATCGATATCTACTACCTATGTACGTGTATAGTACGTAGATGCTACCTCTTAGCCTTGTGAGAACATATAAGCACAATGTACATACGTGTACCTACAAAGTAGCTCTAGATAACTTTAGCTAGGCCTGTTCCACTTCTGAAACAGTTCCGCTTCTCTTACAAAGCTCTTCAGTATGACGTACATTGCCTAGCTTTCAAATACCAAGCCAAGGGCAGCTAGAGGACTACGTACATTACATAAGGTTCGGAATGTTAAAAGAAAGAATGGCCCTATACATTCTATATCACATCCGAATTTGAATCGCAGGATGTGTAGAGAAAGAGGTGGACTTTCAGGTGTAGACGACAGTGGCAAGAGATGCAGAGTATACTTCCAGACCAAGTAGGTACGGAGTATGGCTGGAACGTAAATGCAGCCTCGGCAAGTCGGCACTTAGGTAATTATCTGCAGGCTACAACTAGACGTTAAGGTTAAGGTAATTAGTGCTGTCATTTGTTACTTAGTTATTTCGATTTCTATGGGAAAGAATCGTACATGTTCTCAAGACTATAATCGAACCAAGATACAACTAGCTATGGTAATAACTTGAAACCCTATGCTCAGCCATGAGGGTGTTATTCCAACTCGTCCCATACAATACATAATACACAGTCTCGTAGAAAATAACTAACTATAAATACCAGACACCACCAGACTTTGGGGAAGCCCATTCTTTGCGTCAATCTTCGATATATGCACTAGTCAAAGAAACTACTTACTACCTAACCTCTTCATTTCCTGACAGTGTCCCGGACACCTTCTCCACATTCGGTTTCTCCGCATCAGAACCTGTACGGGGAAAACGGGCCGCAGCGGGAAAGTCGGGGCCACGACAAAGGGCATCTTCCGACCTTTTGCCGACAGAAATTCCCAACAGCGATGATTCCTTTTTCATATAAGAAGATCAAGGCGCTCTTCAAGGCGCAGAGCTGAGTTGTGATGGGACCGTTGTCCAAAGAGTGATGTGTTTGTTGTTAAGGCTCGGTGCAGTCCACGATGTCGACTACACAGACCGCCATCGCGGATCCGACTCAGTCATATCCGCTGACTGAGCTTAGCCCCGACTCTACGGCGAAGGACCCCGAATCATCTTCAGAGCAGCAACTCTCTGAAGCTGCAGTCGTTGATCGCGAACCGGCTACCCCTTTTCTAAAACTGATCGTTGCTGGTTATTCATTCTTCTGCGCTGGTGTCAGCGATGGTACTTGTAAGTGTTCTTTTAGACATTGACTCCACCATATACCCCTTGCTAGTGGCAGGACATCGTCCATTCCCTGAGCAGGAGGTTGTTATTACGTTCTCTGCTAGGTATCGAGTCACTACTATCACAAGAGATGCTAATCTTTATGTGAAGTGGGACCTTTAATCCCATATATCTTGAGTAGCTTTCACATTGGCACCGGGGAGATCGCAATCATGTAAGTACTAGGAGCCAAACTCCCAACTCGCATCTAGCTAATTTATCAGTTATGCGACGACATTCGCAGGATGGCTTCTCGCGGCTGTCACAAACCCCATTTTGATAGCACACTTGACGCTTGGCCAACTCCTCTTCGTCGGCGCCATTCTCCAGCTCATCGCCCAAGCGCTACGTCCATGGAGCTCACTCGCAGTATTCTGCGTGTCGTTTCTCTTCCAGTCTCTGGGCATGGCGTATCAAGATGCCCATTCCAATACATTTGTCAGTAACTTGAACAACGTGCCGCATCGATGGCTAAGCTTCATCCACGCTTGCTATGCCCTTGGCACTTTCATCGGACCCTTGATTGCTACTGCGATTGCGAACAGCCCTAATTCGCTTGCCATTGATGGCTGGAAACGGGTGTATTTTGTGCTGATTGGGGTCAGTGTCATCAATGTGGCCGGGGTCATGGTCGCGTTTCGCGATACCCTCTATAGCAGACTCCATACCGAGAAACAGTCTCGTGGCAATCGATTGGCGTTGATTGCTATGGCAAAGCTCCTCAAGTCGAAGAAGCTGTGGCTTCTAAGCTTATTCTACTTTTTCGAGCTAGGAGCCACATTCACGGCTGGCGGTTGGGTTGTCGAGTTCCTCACGACTGTCCGCGGGGGAAAGTTGTCCAATGTCGGTTATATCCCCACTGGATTTTATGGCGGGCTGTTAGCAGGGAGGCTGCTTCTTCCTGAGCCAACGTTCCGGTTCGGCGAACGGAGGATGATCCTGATCTACAGCATCCTCTGCGCGGCGCTTCAGTTGGTATTCTGGCTGCAACCTAGTATCATTGGTAGCGCGATTGCATTAAGCTTCATTGGGTTCTTCTCGGGACCATTTTTTGCCACGGTCGGTTGTCATCGCAAGAGAAATGCGCCGTTGCAATGTTCTAACGGATTATTAGGGAATGTCAGTCGCCTCAAAACTATTCCCTCGTGAATCTCAGCCTGCAGCTCTGGGTAAGCGAATTTCAAAGGTCTTGGCTGCCTTCATACTAAATCGAGTCAGGCTTCATCTTCGTGTTGGCACAAGCTGGCGGTGCCATATTTCCATCGATTACAGGTCTCATCGCTACCCACGCTGGTGTAGCTGTTTTGCAGCCTATTGTTCTCGTGTTATTTATAGTGGGTGGGATTATATGGTGGTTAGTGCCTAATGTCCCGAGTCGAAATGAATAAGTGCGAGATGTTCTGTTCCATCGGTACCTAGGAAAGGGTTGATCCCCTCTCGCATGTTGCAGCTCATCCCTTTGTTACTACACGTGCTCCAGAAAGTAGTAGCTTGCATTGCCCCTGAAGCTAAACGCGAGCTTCATGTTCAGCTATATGTGCGTGGAACATACATAGATCTCTTTCTATATAATCGAAAATTTTTATTTAATGTGCATATGATCTCGGTTCTCTCTGTCAGGGAATGTGATGGGCAATTGTTAACTCAATTCACGTGAGGTATAAAGCTTATTGATAAACCAGTGTCTTCGACTGAGGAGTTATGTATAAATAACCGTCAAAGCTATCTATGCCAAATGCCATTAGAAGTAGCCTTATATGTTCGTAGATCTGTCCGTTTTTTTGTGATAGTAGTAGTAAGGCTAGGGGTTGATGTTGGCTTAATGAGGCTCTATTTACTTGATTCTGGAGTGTACGATGGTGTAGAATCCTCAGATCATAGAAATTACCGTAATCCCAAGGGTAAGAGAACAAGAAATTAACATGAAGAAAGGATATCGTTTGAAGGTTTCTAAGCTTAGTGCCTCATACTAGGTGTTCAAGTGATACTCACAGTAAAGACTAGTCATACATCATTATTCGTCTTGGTATCGTTATCTCGAGAATGGGAGCAATCACAGCCTGGACTAGGAGAGACTGACTACTTGGATTAGCTTCGTCCTCAATTTGTGGATTGTTCCTAGTTCCCTCTATCTGGATTCGGCTCATCAGGTAGTAGCTATGAGAACTAGCGAGTCTGGACAGGTAAATAGCCTAGGAGAAGGAGGGAATGTAGATTGTTTTTATTGCCAACTAGCCTCATTATGAAATCAGCATCCAACTCTTAATCATTGAATTATACTTTCGCTCGAGAGGTGCTAACCGCAGCAGCTTGACTATACTTATCGCCGTGTACACTCACTCCCACCCTCATCCTCATTGAAGTAACTTAGACTCAGCACCTAGGTCTTCGAACCCCTTATTCCACCTTCCAGCTCTATCGCAGAACCAAGAATTGGCTTGGGCCAGACTACAAGGACACACGATGCCCGTCCTCCGGTCGGTGAGGTTCACCCACCGCTAGCACACACACCAACACATTCGAACACCGAGGCCAGTGTCGCCGAGAGCCGAAAGGCAAACTAGCGCCAACAGAAGACGGGAATAAACATCCATACCCGTGATTCTTCCATCATGGAACTACGTAAAAAGATAGAATATCACAAGAAACCAATACGAGAGGTGGGTTTACGTAACTCACCTACCTATTCTACTCGGGGCTTGATCAAGCCAACGCCGCAACTCACTCCCGCGGAAAGCCGACCAGATCCAAAACGCCATGTGGCTTTCTTTTCTTGAGATCGTCGTCTGCGCGAAGAGGATTTTCCTTTACCATGGAGAGTGGACACCGGGAACAAGCGTGTAAAAGGAGCAGTCTAGTTCCATCGCTAGAATCCCTTCCTCCGCGATCGAGGAATACGAGCTGTCGCTAGCACCAACGGATCTACTAACAGCATTGTGTCTTTGATGATTCTTGATGCTATGCAGCACTTACGCCGCGAGCGAGAGTTAGAGTCAAACATAGCGCCAACAGTAAAGCAGGAGGATCTACCTAGCGGATTTTTACTTTCACATATTAATCTGCAATCGATATGGTGAATGATGTGTCGTTGTTGCATGCGATGCTTTAGTGGTGAGGCACGGTTCTTTGGAGCGCTGTCATGTGTGAGCCGCGCCACTGATAAACATATCTGCCTACGTCAAATACATACGTTTATATATATATAGGATACGGTGAAGCCTCTCGTCCCGTGGCTATTATTGTGATGCGGGGAGTCGCATGAGGCTCTGCGCCCTAGAACTGCATTTCGGAATATGTTCCGTTTCTAAGTATCGTGGATCATGTTCGCGAACTCCCAGATTCTATTTTTCGCACCCGTATGTTGGCTATCTATTGGTGTTCCATACCTGCTTCCATACAGAGGCTCCGCATCTGGTGCGAGTTCGCGGCGTAGATTCAATGCTGGAGTCGTCCGTCCTTGAACGGACAAGGCCGCAATGGCGGTATGCAAAGGGTTGTATAGAGGCGAGTGGGTGGTCTATTAGTCAGTTAGCCGTGTAGGCTGACGAAAGGCCAGGCTGTCAACTTGTGTCTTCGACAACACTTGCTCCTCTCCTGCCCAGCCTTGTGTTGAGTACCTAGTGCGGCCAATTCCTTCTGGTTTCAGTGCGTGCGGCTACGCCGTCGAAAGCGGATTCGCATACCTACCTCCTGCTTGCGGCAACGAATGGTTCATTGGACGTACGGCATGGTAGTTTAGTACAGTCAACCCATCGACACCAACGGCGTGACCGTCTTACACCGCGCGCCAAGTGCGTATGGACAACAAATCATTGCGATCCCTGACTAGACGCCTCACCTACGCACTTGCTCTGCAATCCAGTACAGTACGGGCGTTCGCGAACCAAGACGCACGGAAATCTGCTGTGGTCGTCTACGGCGCATTGGAAGGGAAGGGAATCCCCCAGCTCGCGTACCCAGAAGATACAGTCGAGATGCCTAATCGGGCAGCCGGAGTTCAGATGTTTCGTTTCATGTTTACGGCAGAGGAGCGCGCTGGGCGTCGATGACGCTAGCGTCGGGGGTTCGTCTCCTTCTCTTCTTCTATCACTACTATAGTAGGTAGGTAAGGTAAGTGTTGGTCTCCCTCACGCATGATGCGGCGGATTCTTTTGCGTGTGATTATGTCACCTGGGACTACCTCTAAATGGAATTTACGTAGAGACGGCTGAATGACTGGTGTGGAGGATGACGAAGGATGAGGCTGTGTGTGTCCAACGTAAGTGATACACCTATCTAGTACTGTAGGTAGTGGGGTGAGAAAAGCTACCCTTGAGCTGAACCCCAACATCGCACCTGATCATACCTACCTACTTACTCGGTATGTATAAGCCAGACAAACAGCTTGATATGCCGTCCTTCTATAGCCTACTAGAGATGGAAACTCCGGGGTACATCGCTGTGGTCCTGCGGCGATTTGTTATTCATAGCTACGATGTGTTGTTTCGCCTGCGTACGGCGTATACAGCATGACTAGGTAGGTAGGTACATAGCCAAGTCAATTTTTATCAATGATGTAGCAATTTGTCCCCCCTAGACAAAGCTGGCGCGAGCGATGTGGTGTTGCTTACCTACATACCATGTGCATTGCGAAACCCCATGCGCCGTCAATCATCCGGTGTAACGTGCCGCTACGGAACGCCGAACAGGAAGAGGTATCTCTGTTTTGTAAGCCAATATATAGGACTCGACCGCGCCAGGAATCGCATGGGGAAAATAAGCGACTGGTACTCGTTTGTTCGGCCTCCAATCCTATGCCAAGGGGGTAGCGAGCGGCCGGACTTCCGGACATTCAATCGATTGTTTGCTCAGTTGATTGATTGAACGAAGATTGTTGGCGGGATGCAGTGCAGAGTGGTCTTTTCATTCAGCACTGCCGACTCCATCGCAGTAGGTATGTAGGTAGGTGTGTAGGCTAGGTGGGTGGGTTGTATTATTAGCAAAGAAAAAGAAACCAAGAGTAAGAATCTCAACGTCGCTGAGAACCACTGAGAAGAATCGCCCGGATCTCAATGAGCCGCAATGCAACTGTATCTAGCATGCCCACTCATTGCATAGGTAGACAGGTAGGTAGGCATCTACGGTAAGCTGGATGGTCGATATGGCCGACTCACAGCCCTTTGAAAACCGAGCACCGAAGGCCAATTGGTTTGGTTTATGAGAGAGGGCGGTCGTACGAGGTCATATCTTAGCCGCCGCCCGCGCGACTGTCTCGCCCACCGGATCTCAGCTCATCCGCGTCGGGCCTTGGTAGATTCAGGTACCGGACCCCAGATCAGCCCAGCCCAGCCCAGCTTCACTTGCGCGGTGCTGCTTGTGCACGGCTTGCAAATTCTCAAATCTCGTTGCCTAGCTGTCGTGTCTTCTTCCAGTAGGTACCTATGTATGTCTGCGTGCATGCATGTAGAGTGGTGTACATACGAACCTCAGTACCGGCAGCAGCTACTTCGTACGGTGTCATCGAATGAAACAGTTAATTGTGTATGTCGGCTTTGCCTGGTATTATGTAAGTCCTTAATTAGAGGGTCCAAATTAAAAAACACAGAGCCACGTTACGCTCTCACGTTACGCTGCTTTACAGTATGAATTGAGTGATTCAGCATTGGACGGGTTTGGGGGTCAAATTTGCCCCTATCATGATTACAATGTCTTATGAACAAAATGTGAAAAGAGACATGTAACCTATGCTGGAAATTGCAGTGCTATTGTCGCCCAGAAGAATGTCCACTCAGGACTCAGTTTAAACGAGATTATAATTGGAACAGAATAAGAAGCTTGCAGCACAACGTCGTAGACACTGTATGTAAGTAAGTTATGTGGAAATAGTGTATACCAACTCTGTACTTACCTGTTCCAGCCTTGTGTGGCATTGCTCGGTATTACTTAGGTAGGAGGAATGATAGAGATCCTAGTGTGCGTAGGTATCTCGCAGTGCGGCTGGAAGCCCATCTACATAGATACCTAGGTAGTTAGTTACTGTCATCTTACGTTGATCGTCTGACGTCGTAGTGCTCGATAAAAGAGAAGAAGGATGCAAGCGAACGCATGGAGTGAATCCTCAAGTTCCACTAACACATGTATGTGTATAGGTATTCGAAGCATGCATGTTGGTTGTTCTTCTACATGATCCTAGACCAACTACCTAGTATTCAACTCGAAAGATAAGTACTCCCAATGATGTCGAAGATTGACAGCACAAACATGAGGCAAAGCTGATGTGCAAACACAGCCTGGACCCTGGAACCACTGCCCCGGATTAATGGCCCAATTATAGAACGGCTGCCGGTACAGCCTGGTACAAAGTGACTCGGGGACCTGCACGGGGACAATATTAGCCTCTTTCGGACAGCGGTTGGGTTTCTATGTCCTGTCATTGGATGAAATCAGCCCATTATGTACTCATACATGCATACTATGTATATACTATGTAGGTATGAAATATTCTGGAGAGCATGCAGTGGCTACCATCATCATATATATACATACTTACAAATATTGTAACTAGTATTACCGTAAATAAACGGACGCGCACTGATGTATCTATTCTTAGCCGAGTAGTGAATGGTTTGCTGTAGGCAAAAGACTCGAAATGTTGGCAACGAAGATGCTTGTAGCTAATAGGCTGGTATCGAGCAAAAGACTACGGTACCTGTGAAGGTAAGAGAGAGTACTTTAGATTATAGGATGTTGAGAAAGATGGCTAGGTAGTCGAGCATATGATATATTTTAGGTTACCTGCAGTTTTGACTATGCATGCCCGTTAAATTGTATCTGCGCAACCGGGGGAACTGTCACACAGAGCTGGTATACTACGTAGGTATCTGGTGAGTGGCAGACGTGACGTAGGTACCTATTATATCATCGTAAATAAGGACTGATGATAACGACGGTGGGTATTACGATAGTAAGCAATTGCAGAGTTATAAAAGAAGAGAATATAATCATTATAGGCAATGTGCACCGTTAGTTTCCTACCGTATGATCGTATATGATTGACCCTCAAAGGGAATAACAGGTTATGGGGTTAATAAATCTGTAATATTATCATGGGACGCCCTCCATGTGAGACCTACAGTAGGGTCAGCTCCCGAGATGCCTGCCCCCATCCCCAAACGCTCTCCCGGACGCCACCGATTCAGATATGTCTTGGGCCCGTTGCCACCACCGGCTGCGAACGGAGGTCGACGATGCAAAAGTTGCCACCCCTCGTTTCGTTTCGTTTCGTCATTGATGACAGAGACACAGGCTGTCGTGATATGCGCTGCAAGTTCCGGAGCCCAGAAAACCAACAGAGTATTCTTACTCACCCGCAACTGCATATGACAAGGGCCAAGAACTGCTTAACTCAAAGGAGGTTACGGAGTGGTCAATGGGAAAAAAACGGCTATATATATGTATAAATGTATCATTCTTAGTCAGAATAGTTTATGCAAGGATTCTCTTGAGTGCCGAGTTGTTCGCTATCTCCAGAGCGACGATGAGAAGAGGAAGAAGAAGAAGAAGAAGAAGAAGAAAAAAACGTTCAAGCAATGTGACCACCGATGGTGGGTGGTGTGGTCCGGAGAGATCTACTTAGAGAGAGGAAACTGGATAGTCGAATCTGCCGACAGCCAAGGCGGATTGGATGGGTTAAGGCCCAATCAGCCAGTCACCATAACTGTCGGCGACACCTTAGTGCAAGTTCGTTCGTAGTCTCCAACGAGTTCGGGCGTGGTGGTTGGTTGTCACCTTATCTCTTATTCTATTGGTGTCTGCCATCTGACCGTTCTAAGTGACCGTTTCGCCTCGCTCTCTTGTCCGGCCTTCCTGTGGTCTATGGCGATCAAGCGAGGTTATCATGGGAGTTATAGCGCTGGCCTTATTAAGACCTCGTTGCGATGCCTACCTTGCTTCATTGGTCGTTCAGTCCCTTGGTCTTGGTGTGGCGGCGCTTCTTGCACTTAACGTAATGGGTTTTATGAATCTGATGCGACGGTGTCCGCAGAGCTATTACTCATCGTCAGTGCTGATGCAATCGACTTGCTCCGGATGTACGAAGCAAAGGATTCGCAATGGTCTCTCTTTTGAGAGAAACACCTCCCGATGTCGTGGGATGTTGGTGTGGGTATGCACTATAAGACGGGGTACTAAGGATAGCAGCTCATTGGTGGATTGTCTATATCAACCGGCGACACTGAGGCCGCACATGATTGTGGAATAGAGTGAAAGATGGACTTCCCCTGGCGAGGGCCGGCCGTTTCGCGAGACCTTTCTTGCATGACCTCCGCGTCTCCTAGCCATCTCAATGCGTCATTCTGGTTTGCGACGTTGCAATCCCTGTCTACTCTGATGGTTGGGTTAGGTATTCCAAGTCTCTTTTTATTTTATTTTATTTTTTTGATGGCCCTTTTTTTAGTTCGCGGCGAGATACAATCTGTTAGATATAACCTGGCTCAGATACCAATCAGCATCGGGCCCCGCCTATCCAGATGCCAACTTGTTCATACGCTGCAGTTGTTTTTGCCACATATGGCCCAACAGACGTACTTAGCGATGCGTACACATACTATGTATATTCCTATGAGCTCACATTTAACGTCATAAGGATTTTGCGTTGGGTTGATCTTCGAATCTGTAGTCAGACGAGAGACCGTGTAGTCACTCAGTGTCTTGTGGTGGTTTTGTCCCAGCTTTTTCTTTTAGTGTACTAAGTCGGTACTTACTGTTCACTACAACGCCTAGCATATACTATGTAGGGCTCTTTACAAATAGGTATCGCCAAGTAACGTAATGGTCCTTGGCCACCTTCTAGTTGTCACGGTCAAGGAATTGTTAGTTTTCGAAGGTGATTCCTACAGACCCGACACCAAAGCAAAACCCGACCGGGCTTGCTTGTAGAACTGAGGAGATCTAAGAGGATACACGTCTTGTACTGTACAGCTACCTACCATGTACACCCGCCTCACGTGGTGAACAGGCGAAAGAAAGGCGTTGTTAGTAGCAGAAATAGATACGGGAGTGACAGCGTGGCTATGGCAGCTTTACGCCCTATTTACATATACAGCAGGTAGGTAGACTTTATTCCTACTCGGAGAATACGTATTCAGGATCAGGAATACCATCTGAATCCAGAAATGTTTAAAACCCCAGGCGGTTCCCTTTACCGCATTCCGCCTTCGCCCTTGCTTCTGGATCTTGGTATTTCCTGCCAATATATACCGACGCGTGTTCATTTTTACATGTCTTGTGAATGTCGTGATTCAAGTCAGATATCAGATACACTGTTGCGATCGCCACAAACGCCTCTCGTCGTATCTAATTAATTACTTATATCCAAAAACCCACCGACTGAGGCTACCTTCTTTTTAAGATTCAAACCATACCATCTCGAATCTCGGTAGGTAGGTAAATTACCCAGTCCCCTGTTCGCTTTGAAACGCTCGAGAAGGACAGCGAAAGTCTGCTTAACCAATACAATATTCTGCCATTACCTTCCCCTTCCGGACTACTGTCATTTCTTAATTTATCGCCTACTTACGCAGTATTCAGCAGGCACAGCAGGTAGCGTCTGTCACTGACGATTCCGGGTCCTCCCAAAAGCAGACAAACACCTGCGCTCCCTAGCAGCACTCTAGCAGCACCTACTCTAGCACGCCTCCACCCCTGCAAGCAACTGGAACCCGCAGCGTGCCAAGCGCTGATCCACTCCTGAACCCATCCATCATCCCAGGTTCAGGGGGAAAGAAAGATACCCCCCCAAGCCCCCCCCAAAGCAGCCAAAAGCAGCCCACGCCGGCAGGGGTGTGTACATGGGTACCAGCTCGATGCTCTCCTTCCAACAATATCTACACCAAGTATGTATATGCTCTTCCCCCAGGCGCCCGACCTTTCCTTGATTCCCATCTCTACAACACGAGAAATTTCTGGAGCCCTCCGAGCCGTCGTCTTCCCTGATTACGATGTGCTCGTCTCTTCAATTCTAAGACAGAGAGCTGGCCTCGACGCACATGCTTATAACCTCTTGTTTTTGTGCTTAGTTCCAACGCATTGTCTTAGCGGTAGTCGTCGTCCTTTTTTCACCAGCACGCACACTCCAACCAGCTAGCCAGCATTTTTATTTCACCATGTCTGTCGTAAACCAACAATACCCCAGCGAGGGGCAGAGCCGGAAGCTCGAGGCAACAGTAGTTCCAATGGAGAGTGGCGCCGACGTATCTGCGGAACAGTCCCCGGCCGAATCGATATCCGCACCAAAAGAAGATCCCCTCGAGGTGCTAGTGGATGCAGATGATGAACAGTGCCTTATCGAAGAGGCAACAGTCCTGAACACAAAAGATTTGAAGACAAAAGAAGTCGTTATTGAACCACCCGCCATACCGAAGCGAAATACCCTAAGAACGTCCCGTCTCCTTGACAACTTGAAGCTTAACTCTATCGAATCCGCTACCAAGTCCCTTAACACTACACACAATGTCTACCTGTCATCTGAAGAGGACGCTTCCTCTTCCGCCGACGAATACTCAGATGACGACTACGAATCCTCGAGTGAAGAGTCTGATCAATCATCAGTGAGGAGAGAGAGCCAGGAGATTACCGCGCGTGTTGTATCAGTGGTGTTCGTGGGTAAGCCCTGTGTAGTCGAGCTGGCCAGCAGCCGGCGGTCAGTATCCCCTGCCAAGAGGCCTCAGTCCGAATTCTTTGGACGCTCGGTATCATCGCCATTTGGAAGAGATTCACCACAGAGCCGCCCAGACTGCCCACAAAGAAAAATCAGTTTGGCGTCGATCAACGACCTACCCAAGCAATCCCCTAGCTTCCTCAGCCAGGACCCCTTCAGTGCTAGCCCATACACACGACGTGGATCAGGCTTAACAATTGAGACTAACTCGTCCGGAACATTCTCACGGGTACCCAGGACACCGACTCAAGCTGCTTTCCAACGTATTCAGAAAACCATTAGCCTAGCCAGGAAGCGAAGCCGACCAAATCTCAAGGCTGCTGCTGAGAGCAATGCATCGATGAGCAGCCTCAATTTACCGAACCTCAACACGTCACAAGAGTCTCAGGAGTCTAACAAATTAGATACCGCCTCACCAGCAGCGGCGCAGTCACCGGTAACCTACAACGAGATCCTCAAAGTTGCACGGAGGAAGTCTATCAGTGCTTCCGCTGTTACAACTATTGCACAATCGCCAACAGTAGAGAGCCTACCAGCATCGCCTATGACTCTCAACCCAGCGAAACGGAGCTTACTTAGCGGCCTCAACATGAACCGTCGACGAAGTATGAGGATAAAGATATAATACCTCTTCGCATCTTCCATTTCCATTCTCACATTCTCTCGATCCTTAATCTCACTTACACTCTTAACTCTACTCTTATCTTCTGCGGTTAAAAGGGGCCCACGAGGCAACAAGGCGCTCGCTCATGGATGAGCAGGTAACCGGGTGATATCATACAGATGGGCGTTTCAAGGAACCGGCGCAGTGTTTCTTTCTTTTTCTTCTTTTATTTCCACATGGTATCCTATGTGTACCATGTGACACTACGGGCACACTTAAACACAACGGGCTGGGTGGCGCTTGATTTGGGGGGCTTTACAAGGGTGGATCACCACACATGGGCGGCAATTGATTGATACCTGATGACCCCGTTTTGGGACAACGCTATGAGCCGGGTGCCGGAATCAAGCGGAAGCATTACACTACGCGCCCGAAATAGGCGCTTGCAGAGAAATCTGTATACTTGATGTGAGAGGGACAAACTGCAGCACAGATCGTGTAAACCAATACTGTATGCATGTAGCTCTGCTTTGCCTAGCTTAGCTATATGTGCTGCTATCAGCATCTTAGCCAAGACATGAACTCGCGCATTCCAAGAATCTACCTACACACATGGTCCGACAGCGGGCCGGATCTCACAAATGTTTCGTTATGCGATGTGCTAAATTCCCAAACGTGATCTGTTTCCATCTAATGTTTGCCCTGTCTTATCTCACCCGTGTACAACCCTGCTATATCGATCGATCGATTGATTGATTGATTGCTTGATATATGGGCGTATCTACCGAGTACCGTATCTATCTCCATACACGACAACGAGGCCGAGGATTAAGCTTAACAGGTGGAAGGATTTGAACGAGGGGTCACAAGATTTCCCAGCACATCCCGACCCGAAACACCCCAACCCATGCGTTTGACTACCTGTACTACGCCAGAGCTGATACAGTGATGCATGCAGCGAATTGCAACCAATACCCGGCACGGCGGTTGGACGGGACGGGGTCGAGGAAACGAAACACTGTGACTTGCAGCATCCGCTACACTATCTTCAACAAGAGCGGTTTCACAATCTCCTGTCCCCGTCGCATCGATTTCAATATTTCGCCATAGTACTAAGTTGAGCAGCCCTCTCTTAAGCTATATCGCATTCTTCTATTTCTCCCTGCGGCTTGTCGCGAGGGTTCATTCCTGCCGGTTGGTTACGTGGTGCCTCACCTAGGGCTTTCCTTGCCGTTGCGCAACCGTCGCATGCCTACATTACATGTCTTGGGTGCCCGGTGCTTACCTATGTACGCCTACCTACTAGTAGCCGTTGGAATGTGACACACTTACTCTGTCTGCATTCGGCCTTACCGGTTGCACGCACGCGCGACAGACACTTCATTCCTTCTTGCCTACTCCTAGATGAGTAACTAATGAAGAGACAAAATCTGCATCAACCTTATGCATTCCACTTTAAGAGAAGCGTTGGGGGCTATGTCCCTCTTAGCTAAGGATGTCTTTTAGGTGTCAAAATGGAATGGATGAATGACTTCGGTAGAGGCGATAACGAGTGAGAATGTCTCACCAACACGAGGTATGGTAACGGTAGTGTGCGGTGGCGGCCCCCCCTTCCCCCCTCCTCTCCTGCTCCATATCTGAGCCAGTGAGGGAGGGAGTAAGTGTGTGACCTGCCTACAGAAAATAGTGGCATTTCTTTAGGTATGGATAGATAAACGCATCATGCATCATGCCTCTCTCTATACACACACACGCACGCACATACATACATACGTTGACACGACTCACCGGCACTAGCACTAGCGATGCAATGTCTAAGTATGTAAGTGGGCTACTTCGTGTACCTACATTCTGTGCACCCAAGAATGTCAGTCTGTACCTTGCACGAAAAGGGAGGGCGAAAAAAAAAACACATTTTATTTCACTGACTTTCCCCTGTAGGGCCCCCTTTCTGCAAGATCCAAGGAACAGGCAACTCGGATTCTTGGAGTGGTCCATTTACGTCGATGATCCTCTACCTACCTGCCCCTCCTGTTGAACAGCCTAGGCAGGTCAGAAGAAGCGCAGGTACAAGACAGGCAGATCGTGGTAGGCAGGCAGGCAATTACAACTAGTAAGTAAGTTCCAGATGTGAGACTCATATTTAGCCCTAAATACGTGGGAAGAGCATGCCTATCTACATAGGCAATGTAAGCGTCTAGTTGCATTGATCTACATCGGTAAGTATGGAAAATTCCACTGCCCAACCCTGAATACACTACATACTATACAAAATCTACCGCCTACCTATATACACTAGTTCGTTGCAAGAACACCAGATCTACCTTCTGTTTCTTACATAGTACAGGTTCATTGATGATTTACCCTAAAGGGATACATATGGCTTATCCTATCATCTAGCAAGGAGGGTTGTGCTAAGTCACCTGCCTACAGGGTTCGTCAAATGTACTACTAGTATTTTAGTACTAGTAAGTATACTACTAGTATTAACTAGTAAGTACTAGTATTAATATTGGATTTTAGGTTAACTAATAAGTATATATTAATATTAGCTAAGAATTAATACCTAATAAGTAAATATTAATAGTATATTAATTATATTAAGTATTAATGCTTAATTAAGCTTAGCGTTCTCGATAAGACCGCGCTAAGCTTATTTGGGTAAAAAATTTAATATTTTATTTAATATTTTAAAAAAAAGATTTTAAAAGTTAAAAAAGATTTTCCTTAACATTATATATATAATAATATAACTTATAATATATTATTAAAAAGCTCTTTTTCTTTTAAATATATTAATATTATTTATATATTTATAGCTATTTTATTTAATTTATAAAACTAATATTTATATAAATATATTTTATAATATAATATTTAAAAATTAAAATAAAACTATTAAATATATAATAATAAAACTTATAATATATTATTAAAAAGCTTTTTTTCTTTTATATATAATAGTACTACTTATATATTTATAGTTATTTTATTAAATTTATAAAGTTAATATTTATATAAATATATTTTATAATATAATATTTAAATAATATTTAAAAATTAAACTTTTATTATATAATAATTAATATATAAAATTTAAAATAATATATATTAAAATATTTTTAATTATAATTAATTAATTATAAACTTCTTAAGAATATAATTATAAAACTATAAAGTATTTAAATTTAATAATTTAAATAATTTTAATTTAATTAATGGATAACTATTTTAATATTTAATAGTTAACTTTAAAGTTTCATTATAATCCTTTAAATAAAAGGTTTATAAAAAAGGCTTAAATAAGTATAAATAATCCAATTTTAAAAGTGAACTTTTAAAGGATTTAATATAAAATAAATAAATAAAAAAGGTAAAGGTATTAGGATTATTATATTTATATAAGTTTTTAAAAAGCTATCTTTTATATTTATTTTATATAATAATATATATAATGTTTTTAAATTAAAATAAATAATAAATATATAAACTTACTTTTTTATAATAATAAATAATTATATAATATTATTCTTTATTTATAATAAATTATTTAATATTAATTATTTAATATTAAATAAATACTATATATATATATTAATATTTAATAAATTTATTATAAAGAAATATATTTATTTACTTAAAATAACTTTTTATAATATATAAATAAAGTTAAATATAAAATATTAATAATTTAATATTAAATATAAAACTTAATAAATTATTTTTTAAAAATTATAATAAAAGATATAAGATTATATTTATAATAAATAAATATTAAATAAAGTAAATAAAGTAAGTAAAGTAAATAAAGTAAATAAAGTATTTAAGTTAATTAAATTAAATAAAGTAATTAAAGTAAATAAAGTAATTAAAGTAATTAAAGTAATTTAATTTAATTTAAATATTTAACTTAATTTAATTATTTAACTTAATTAAATTGTTTAACTTAATTTAATTATTTAACTTAATTAACTTAAATAATATAATTAAAGTAATTAAAGTAATTAAAGTAATTAAAGTAATTAAAGTAATTAAAGTGATTAAAGTAATTAAAGTAATTTAATTTAATTTAATTATTTAACTTAATTTAATTATTTAACTTAATTAAAGTAATTAAAGTAAATAAAGTAAATAAAGTAATTAAAGTAAATAAAGTAAATAAAGTAATTAAAGTAATTAAAGTAATTAAAGTAATTAAAGTAATTAAAGTAATTAAAGTAATTAAAGTAATTAAAGTAATTAAAGTAATTAAAGTAATTAAAGTAATTAAAGTAATTAAAGTAATTAAAGTAATTAAAG